TGTTTGGTTAAAGTTTTGTTTCACTTTTTCCTCCTCTCCTCTTCAGAGTCAGCTTATTTGGTGCCTGGCTGGTGATCACCATGTTAGTCCATTTGCAATGCCATACAGAAAGGGCAATTTATAACAAAAAGAGGTTTAATTGGCTCACAGTACTTCAGGCTGTCCAAGAAGCATGCCAACAGCATCTGCTTCTCGTGAGGGCCTCAGGAAGCTTCCAGTCATGGCGGGAAGTGAAAGGAGGGTAGCAGGCAGGTCACATGGCAAGAGCAGGAGCAACAGAGAGGAGCATGATGTCCCAGACTCTTTTAAACAACCAGATCTCATGTGAACTGAGTGAAAACTCACTCATCACCAAGGGGATGGTGCTAAGCCAATTGTGAGGGATCTGTGCCTCTATGATCCAGTCACCTCCCAGTAGGCCCCCACTCCAACACTGGGGATTACATTTCAACATGAGATTTGGAGGGGACAAACATCAAGTGACAGTGAGGGTATAAAATTTAAGTTAAGATGAAGTGGGGGGCCGGGCGCGGTGGCTCAAGCCTGTAATCCCAGCACTTTGGGAGGCCGAGGCGGGTGGATCACGAGGTCAAGAGATCGAGACCATTCTGGTCAACATGGTGAAACCCCGTCTGTACTAAAAATACAAAAAAAAATTAGCTGGGCATGGTGGCGTGTGCCTGTAATCCCAGCTACTCAGGAGGCTGAGGCAGAAGAATTGCCTGAACCCAGGAGACGGAGGTTGCAGTGAGCCAAGATCGCGCCATTGCACTCCAGCCTGGGTGAAAAGAGCGAAACTCCATCTCAAAAAAAAAAAAAATGATGAAATGGGATGTATTGATAGGAATGGAAGTAATTTCAGTGGCAGTTGCATGAGCCAGTGCCATCCAAGCTTGCTGAGTTCACATGCATGCTCACATGCTGGGTGTGGGAGCTGCATCAAACTGAGGCCTGGCAGCTGGCAAGGACCTATTGACATTATACATAAGATGCTTTTTGCCTGACGCGGTGGCTCACGCCTGAAATCCCAGTACTTTGGGAGGCCAAGGCAAGGTGGATCACAAGGTCACAAGATCAAGACCATCCTGGCCAACATGGTGAAACACCATCTCTACTAAAATTGCAAAAGTTAGCCAGGCGTGCTGGCATGTGCCTGTAATCCCAGCTATTCAGAAGACTGAGGCAGGAGAATTCCTTGAACCTGGGGGGTGGAGGTTGCAGTGAGCTGAGATCATGCCACTTGCACTCCAGCCTGGGTGACAGAGTGAGACTCCGTCTCAAAAAAAATTTTTTTATAAAAAGATGCTTTTTATAAAAAGATGTGAGAAAATGGGGCTTATTATCAAGAAATAGAGTTTCAGATTTTCATTTTAAACATGAGGCAGAGCTATTTTCATTGTCATCTGCAAGAGCTGCTCATGAGAAAATTACCCTCAATTGTGTGTAGGTACAAACCTGTTTTAGGAAAGTTCATCCTTACAAAGTGCAGTGAATATAGTCACGGAGTCATGAATGTCAGAGGCAGAGGAGGGATCACAGGTAGCTTGAAACTAACTAAAATTGCTACAAGCAAAGATAGATATATATTTTTTCCCTTTCACGGGGTTCCCTGCACTTTTCCCACTGGTTGATGGCTTTTTCCGTTTGTCTTTGTACATGTTTTTCCTGTGCTTTATTACAGTACTCACTTTTCATTTATCAAGCCAATCAGCAGATAGCAGATCCTGCCATTAATTAATAAAGTATACCAAAAAATTAGCTGCTATAAAGACACAATAATTGGCCAGACACTGTGCCTCATGTCTGTAATCCCAGCACTTTGGGAGGCCGAGGTGGATGAATCACTTGAAGTCAGGAATTCGAAACCATCCTGGCCAACATGGTGAAATACCATCTCTACCAAAAATACAAAAATTAGCTGCACATGGTGGTGAGCACCTGTAGTCACAGCTACTTGGGAGGCTGAGGCAGGAGAATCGCTTGAATCCAGGAGGTGGAGGTTGCACTCAGTGGAGATTGCACTACTGCTCTCCAGCCTGGGTGACAAAGTGAGACTCCATCTCAAAAAAAAAAAAAAAAGACACAGTAATTAATTGCCTTTGTTTTTTTGAGACAGCGTCTTGCTCTGTTGCCAGGCTGGAGTGCAGTGGTGTAATATCGGCTCACTGCAACCTCTGCCTTCCAGGTTTAAGTGATTCTCCTTCCTCAGCCTCCTGAGTAGCTGGGATTATAAACGCATGCCACCATGCCTGGCTAATTTTTCTATTTTAAGTAGGGACAGGGTTTTACGATGTTGGTCAGACTGATCTTGAACACCTGACCTTGTGTCTGCCCACCTCAGCCTCCCAAAGTGCTGGGATTACAGGCGTGAGCCACCACACCTGGCCTGCCTTTGTTTGTTTTTTTTTTGAGACGGAGTTTTGCTCTCGTTACCCAGGCTGGAGTGCAATGGCACGATCTCGGCTCACTGCAACCTCCGCCTCCTGGGTTCAGGAAATTCTCCTGCCTCAGCCTCCTTGTTTTTTAAGGGATCCCACACTGACCTGCCCAACCTTGTCATGACTCTGGTGAGGTGCTTTATGGGTGGCTTAGTTACCTGCTCAGTTGGCAGGGAGTTGGCTGCCTTGTGCCTTCTCAGTTTCATTGCCTCCCTTCCCTTCCACCTGTCAGACCTATTTTATAGGTTTCTGGAGTTCAAATTTACTAGATTCTGGGCTGAATGCCTTGGATTTCAAAGTAGCATTGTTTTCACCTTCTTACGGAAATACTTTAATATCATACTTTATTATTTTTTTTATGCCAGACTGGTCTTGAACTCCTGACCTCAAGTGATGTGCCTACCTTGGCCTTCTAGAAGTGCTGGGATTACAGGCATGAGCCACTGTGCCCAGCCAATATCATAGTTGCTCTGTTGCCCAGGCTGGAGTGCAGTGGTGCGATCTCAGCTCACTGAAGCCTCCACCTCCCAAGTTCAAGAGATTCTCCTGCCTCAGCCTCTGAAGTATCTGGGATTACAGGCACATGCCACCATGCCACCAGTTTTTTTGCATTTTTAGTAGAGATGGGGTTTTACCATGTTGGCCAGGCTGGTCTTGAACTCCTGACCTCAAGTGATATACCCACATTAGCCTCCCAAAGTGCTGGGATTAGAAACATGAGCCACTGCGCCCGGCCAATATTCCAAGGTCAATTTTCTGTATTTTTCCAGAAGTCTAAAGACAGTTATGTGCATACAGTCATGTGTCCTTTAACAAAGTGGATACATTCTTAGAAATGCATCGTTAGGCAGGTTGGTCATTGTGTGAACATCATAGACTAGACTTACACAACCTAGATGGTACAGCCTACTATACACCTAGGCTATGTGGTATATAGCCTGTTTCTCTTAGGCTAAGAACCTGCACAGCATGCTAGTGTACTGAACACGGTAGGCAATTAGAACATATGGTGAGTATTTGTATATCTAGACATATCTAAATATGGAAAAGATACAGTGAAAGTGTGGCTTTGTAACCTTGTGGGACCATTATGGTATATGTGGTCCATCACAGACTTAAACTTTGTTATGTGGCACGTGTTCCAAATGTGTTCCGAAATTAGTTATGCATATCTGTCTTTCTGTAAAGCATGTCAATTCCTCTTGGTCCTGTTAGTTTTTAGACATTAATTATGTGTTCTGGGTTGAAGTAGAGATGCATCTCCTGATATTCCCGTGCTTTTTTTCTTTTTCGTTTTTTCTGAGACAGCGTCTCTCTCTGTCACCCCGGCAGGAGTGCAGTGGCATGATCTCAGATCACTGCCTCAGCCTCCTAAGTAGCTGGGATTACAGATGTGCACCATCACGCTCAACTGATTTTTGTATTTTTAGTAGAAACGGGGTTTCGCCTTGTTGGTCAGGCAGGTTTTCAACTCCTGGCCTCAAGTGATCCACCTGCCTTGGCCTACCAAAGCACTGGTTTACAGATGTGAGCCACCGTACCTGGTCATATTCCCATTCTCTATCATCTCTGTATGTAGTTTTTTTTGCTAAGTTTATGTTTTCTCATTTCCTTCATTTTAGTACTCCTTACTTTTTTTCCTTCGTTTTAATTAATCCCTGTGTATCTTTTATGTATATCAAATCAGTTTGTGAGTTAAACGCCAGATTTGTTATGTGGCCTGTCAATGGTTGACTTTAACTTTGTTTAATTTCCTGAAATTTAACCCTTGTGATTATGTTTGGTTTTTGTCCCAGAGGATAGTTATTACTAACATAGCAGTACTTCACATCGTATGCTGCTTATATTTTACAAAGCACCTCCACATTATTTCACGGAAGCCCCACTGCAGAAGAGATAGCGGTTCTAGGTTCAGGTAACACGTAAACAATGGGATTGAGACTAGAACCTACGTCTGGTTACTCCTAGTACAATATTTTTGTTTTGTCGTTTACTATACTGCTTTGCCTTTTTCACTCATAGTTTTGGAGTTATGTTGATAGCAAATATGTTCATGTCTCCTCCTAACTGGACAGTTTTCTTAAGCTCTGATTCTCTTGCCAAGTGCTAGATGAGGGCTTTTGAGATCTACGTAGAAGTAACAAAGATGAGGGCTATTTCGTTAGTCCTTTATAACGTCTAAACAGTTTGATTACAGCAGCAGCATAGTGTCTGGCTTTAACCTACAGGTCTCTGAGTGATGCCATTCTTTTTGGTTAAAGTGCCTATGATGTCTCTTTCAATGCTTAACACTTGGTAGCAGCAGTTCTTAGTGCTTCTGGTTTTATAAGTTGCCATCTGCAGGAAAATAAAGCCCCCTTCTTAGGTCCCTAAAATGTTATGAAAAGTTGCTCTTGTTGGGTTTGGAGCAGGTGAAACAGGCAGGGTGAATCTCGGCCGCATGGGTATTTGTGCTTTGTTACGTGTGCAGGGATCCTAACAGGCTTTCTGCTGCAGAAACGCAAACTCTGCCAAAAATAATCGAGAGATAAGAGTCATAATTTCTTTGTATCTTCTCCAAAGTTTGGGAGCCTCTGGTGGAGCAAGTAATTGGGATTCCTACAGTGACCATTTCACCATTGAAACCTGCAAAGAGACAGATATGCTGAACTACCTCATCGAGTGTTTCGACCGAGTTGGAATAGAGGAAAAAAAAGCACCAAAGGTAATGTGAAATGGATTCACTTAAAATTTTTAAAAAGCCTAGTTATTGTTTGATTATCCCCACCCCTGGAGCATTCATTTATTTATTCAATCAGTAAAGTCATTATTGAGCATTTGCCATGTGCCAGGCACAGTGCTGGGAATTTAGGATGTGTCAATGAACAAAACAGAGATTCCTGCCCTTGTAGAACTCACATTCTAGTGGAGACAGGGCCAAGGTGTGAACCTAGGTGGCCTGGCTTCAGAGTCCTCTCTTGACCACACTGTAGCTGGGCACCACCAATGACTCACATGGCCCTGATAATTCTGCTGGTTTGTTATAATGAGCAACATTATGGAGCCTCTGTAGATTGCCAAGGACTGTGCCAGGTCTACATTGGCTCGTATCCGCACAGTTGCTCTGTTAGTGCAGCGAAGCCCGGTATGTGATAGGCATTCTTTTTCTATTGTATGAATAAGCAAATGACCCTCAGAGAGACTAAGTACTTGTCCAGAATCACATAAATAATCAGTTGCAAGGCTGGGCTTAAACTCAGTAAGCTCCCCTTTTCCCATCACTTCTCTGGACTGGCTTCATTGTTTTCTCATTTTATTCCTATTTCACTTTCCGATTGTAGGTTTACATTAGAAACTGATCTGGTTGTCCACTGTTTAGTTTCATATTTGTAAAGGGCCCTCTTTGGACTTCGTTGTACTTAACCTTAGCAGAAGCAAAATGAGTGGGCATGTCTCCGAAGTTTTTTGATTTTTGTTTTTTGAGCTGGAGTCTCACTCTGTCGCCAGGCTGGAGTGCAGTGGCACTATCTCTGCTCACTGCAGCCTCCCCATCCTGGGATCCAGCAATTCTCCTGCCTTAGCCTCCTGAGTAGCTGGGATTACAGGCACCTCCCACCACACCCAGCTAATTTTTGTATTTTTTTTTAAGTAGAGATGAGGTTTCACCATGTTGGCCAGAGTGGTCTCAAACTCCTGACCTCAAGTGATCCTCTCACCTTAGCCTCCCAAAGTGCTGGAAATACAGGTGTGAGCCACTGTGCCTGACCTCCAAGGTTCTGAAGTGTGAGTTTGGTCACCTCTCTTCTCTGACATCAGTTTCTACAGAGGCAGTACACTTGAAAGGCATAGTTACCATAGCTCATTCACTAAGAATAAAGGAAGAAGAAAGCATGCTGTTTACTGATGGTCCATCTCTTTTATCTCTTGTTTTTACAGCATGAAATTGTATTGTTTGTTTCTTGTTGGCCTCACTTCTACCTTTCCTTTTCAGATGTGCAGCCAGCCAGCAGTCAGCCAGCTTCTGAGCAACATCCGCTCGCAGTGCATATCCCATACTGCTTTAGTACTACAAGGCTCCCTGACACAGCCCAGGTATGAAGGCCCATGACACGCTTGACGTTAACAGGCAGAAGGCCCTAGTCAGCAGTGGACATCAGGCTTCCCGGCCATTCTTGCGCCACCTTGGATAACTCTCTTCCTCACCTGTAAAATGAAGGTCCCTTTCCTTCTCTAAAATACGTGAAAATAAAACGCTCCTTTCTTCCTCATCTTCTAAAATAGTGCAAAGCATATTTTAAAAAGAAATTTGTTATATTTGAAGAATTCTGCCTGCTTTTTGAAATAGACCATGTTGAAATATGTGGACAAGCAAGGCAGAAAATTAGTAACTGACCGCACAGCTGGGTCAGCTGCCTAAAATTGGTGGAGGTATTTGATAAAATGTGTGGAGCATCACCTTCCATGTGTAACAGTCAGTTTCTGTTACTGAGTAATAAAGAAGAGTAATGGGATGGATAGCTTAGGAAGCCAACCAAAGTGCTACGTTATTTGCTTCTGAGAATCCCATAAAGGTTACATAATTTTGTTTTTGTTTTTTTTGAGACAGAGTCTCACTCGGTTGCCCAGGCTGGATTGTAGTGGCATGATTTTGGTTTACTGTAACTTCCCCTTCCCAGGTTCAAGTGATTCTCTTTCCTCAGCCTCCCGGGTAGCTGGGACTACAGGCATGTGCCACCACGGCTGCCTACTTTTTTATTTTTTATTTTTTTATTTTTAGTAGAGATGGGGTTTCATCGTGTTCACCAGGATGGTCTCCATCTCCTCACCTCTTGATCTGCTCCCCTTGGCCTCCCAAAGTGCTGGTATTACAAGCATGAGCCACCACACCTGGCCTATTTTGGTCTTTAAAATTCTTTTTCTTTGTCTCTCAGTCTTCTAAAGGTTGCAGGTATTTTTTTTAAAGGATATATATTTCATTTATTTTATATAAGAAATATCTAAAGGAAAAAGTTTACATTTTAAAGTTGAGGCTGGGCGTGGTGACTCACACCTGTAATATCAGTACTTTGGGAGGCTGATCAGCTGAGGTCAGCAGTTTGAAACTGGCCTGGCCAACATGGCGAAATCCCATCTCTACTAAAAACAGAAAAAACTTATCCTGGCGTCGTGGCCCACGCCTATAATTCTGGCTACTCGGACACTGAGGACAGAGAATCACTTGAACCTGGGAGCTGGAGGTTGCAGGAAGCCAAGATCACGCCACTGCACTTTAGCCTATATGACAGAGCAGGGCTCCATCTCAAAAAATAAAAATAATAAAATAATAATAAAGTAAAAGTTTACAGCCCAGGCTCACGCTGGTAATCCTGGCGCTTTGGGAGGCCAAGGCAGACGGATTGCCTGAGCTCAGGACTTCAAGACCAGCCTGGGCAACACAGTGAAACCCCATCTCTATTAAAAATAGAAAAAATTAGCTGGGCATGGTGGAATGCACCTGTAATCCCAACTACTGGGGAGGTTGGGGCAAGAGAATCACTTGAACCCGGGAGGTGGAGGTTGCAGTGAGCCAAGATCACTCTATTTCGCTCCAGTCTGGGCAACAGAGCGAGACTGTCTCAAAAAATAATAAGAAGAAGAAATGAATAATATAAAAGTTCACAAACATAATGTTACACTTATTTATGCTAGCTGTTCTTACATAATTTTCTATGCCGTAACCATATGTTTTTGAAACTTTTCAAAAAGAAGGAAAATTATGTACATGTACCAAAACTTTAAGAAACATCCCATGATTAAAATTAATGACTTTTTAAAAGTCCTCAGCCACTACCAATTTTTTTTCCCCCAATTTGGACGAGGCATAAAAAAGAAAAAGAAACATGTAATGCAGCCAGGCATGGTGGCTCACGCCTATAATCCCAGCACCTTGGGATGCCGAGGCAGGTGGATTACCTGAGGTCAGGAGTTCAAGACCAGCCTGACCAATGTGGTGAAACCCCATCTCTACTAAAAACACGAAAATTAGCTGGGCCTGGTGGTGGGCACCTCTAATCCCAGCTACTCGAGAGGCTGAGGCAGGAGAATCACTTGAACCCGGGAGGCAGAGATTGCAGTGAGCCAAGATCATGCCATTGCACTCCAGCCTGGGTGAGAGTGAGATTCCATCTCAAAAAAAAAAAACATATAATGCTTTTTTTTTAAGAGATAGGATCTCACTCTCTTGCCTAGGCTAGAGTGCTCACTATAATCTCAAACTCCTCCTGGGTTCAAGCAGTTCTCCTGTCTTGGCCTCCCAAGTAGCTAGGACTCTAGGTACACACAGTCTTGGCCAGTTAATATTTTCATTTTTTGTAGAGACAGAGTCTTGCTGCATTGCTTAGGCTGGTCTTCAACTTCTGGCCTCAAGTGATTCTCCTACCTCGGCCTCCCATAGTGCTGGGATTGCAGGCATGAGCCACCGTGCCTGGCCAGGCTTCCTTTATTAAGTGCTTCATTTTTAAAGGGCTCGATGTAGGAAAAGATGAAGTCTTTGAAACTTCCCATAGTCGCGCATTAAAAAGACTAAAAAGTGATTACTGTTGGTAAGAAGGGTTCGCTTTTGCCTGAAACTATCTTGCAGAATGTTTGGGAGATGTCAAGTTGGACTTTTGACTGGGCAGTTGTTGCTGACATGACATTTCACGTGATTGTGTAGTGAGTTGACTTCATCACCGTCCCTAATGTTCATGGGTCCACAGGTCCTTGCAGCAGCCGTCCTTCCTAGTGCCGTACATGCTGTGTAGGAATCTCCCATATGGCTTCATTCAGGAACTGGTGAGAACCACTCACCAGGATGAAGAAGTGTTCAAGCAGGTACGGTCATATGAGTTTGCTCTTGCAAATTTTAGCCTGAGAGCCTCTATACCAAGGCTAATTTTTGAATACACCATATATTGAAAACTTCTGCCTGAATTCAAACATCCATGTGTCAGTTGCTTAGAGACGAGGCCACCTCAAGATTCCTTTGAAGAAATCGCATTGACAGCTGCATTGTTCAAATCATGTGTCCATTGCAACGAATCAGTCAAACATCTATCTTTAAACAAGGTCTACGCTAGGTACTTTGGGCAATAAGAAAAAAATATACACGGCCCTGTTCCTGATTACAAGGAGCTTTTAAAACAAGAATACCCAGAGACAGCATAAGGCGTGATGTGCATTTGCCAGATAAATAGTATCAAAAAGTCATTCTCTGAGTTCGTAAGATTAATAACTTAACCATATTAGCTCACTGGCTGCCTGCATGCCACATAGAATATTTGTCTTCTTCCCACTAAACTAGAAAAGATGGCTCATATCTTACTAATTATTTCATTGGGTATTTATACATTGTTTTGGTATCTTACTGTGTAAAGCCAAGTGAAAATGCAGATATGTAGTGCTTAAAAATAAAGCTGCATATATAGTCCTGAAGGTTTCTTCCAAGGTGAAACTTTGTCATTAACATTGCTGTTTTAAGGACCTGTTTGGGAAAGTAAGCACTTTGCCTTAGCAGCTTTCACCCAAGTGTTTTTCCCTGATGAAAGGGTTTTTATCAAATTTTCTTACAGTTTGCTGTATCATCACTTCCTTTTTTGTGACTACAGAGAATAACAGAGGCAATAGCTATGATTGGTATGATTCCTTTCACTCTGTTTTATACCTAAGATTATTTATAACTGTTAATTTTAAAACCTTTGAATTCTTGGGAATTGTGTTTTCATTAGTCTTCAAAATATTTGTAAAAGAAGCAGCCAGGATTCAAGAATAAAAATTCCAGTTAGTGTTATGTACTCTGTCTGGAATTCACTGTTTATCTTAAATGATGATGTTACTGACTTACAGAAATATTAATGGAAACATAGTGAGCTTTTCTTCTCTAGAAGGATAAGTGAACTCTGAGAAAAATCAATCACTGTCTTGGAAGGTTTAAGAGATGCACTGTGTTAGAGATGTAATGGGCAGTAATTAGAATACTTTTCCTATTCAAGAAGACATTACTTGAGGAATCGAGTAGTTCTCACTATATAAAATCAGCCCAGTGAACATCTGTAAGGGGTATATTGAGCCTACTTTATTCATAAACAAGCCTACACAAGAGGTTATGAAATGACTTCTGAGTGTTTTCTGTTTGTTTTTTCCCCGTCACCAGCTTTGGATAGAGAAGCCCTGCATTTTAAAATTGAAGTGAAATTCATATAACATCAAATCTCCTTTTTTTTTTGAGACCGAGTTTTACTCTTGTTGCCCAGGCTGGACTGCAATGGCATGATCTTGGCTCACTGCAGCCTCCATCTCCCAGGTTCAAGCAATTCTCATGCTTCAGCCTCTGAGTAGCTGGGATTACAGGCACCTGTCACCATGCCCAGCTAATTTTTTGCATTTTTTGTAGAAACAGGATTTCACCAGGTTGGTCAGACTGGTCTTGAATTGCTGATGTCAGGTGATCTGCCCAGCACAGCCTCCCAAAGTGCTGGGATTGCAGGCATGAGCCACCACGCCCTGCCTCAAACCACCATTTTGAAGTGTACAATTCAGCAACATTTACTACATTCACAGTGTTATATGACCACCACAGACCTATTTATTTATTTAGAGGCGGAATCTCCTTTTGTTGCCCAGGCTGGAGTGCAGTGGCTCAATCTCGGTTTGCTGCAACCTCTGCCTCCTGGCGATTCTCCTGCCTCAGCCTCCCATGTACCTGGGGTTACAGGTGCACAACTAATTTTGCATTTTTAGTAGAGACAAGGTTTCGTCATGTTGGCCAGGCTGGTCTTGAACTCCTGGCCCCAAGTGATCCACCCACCTCATCCTCCCAAAGAGCCAGGATTACAAGTGTGAGCCACAGCACCTGGCCCAGATCTGTTTATTTTTAATCCCAGAATTCTGCTGCCTTTTCAGCCACTCAGTGTTGACTACTCATTGTCTTTTCTTATGTGCTACCGTGTGTTTTATCTAGAGAGGAATGGTAAGTGGGATGGAGCTGTTGAACTGAAAAACAGTATTTTATCTTTTTATCTTTAAAGAGCGGCAAAGGTGAATTATTAAATCTTTGACTGAAATTTCTACCTCCTTTTAATGTTTGAGAAATGTTCACAGATAAATAAATAACAGCTAGAATTTAGGACTGGAGGTTGACAGTATTTTTAAATCAGTGCTGAGAGGTATTCATTTGAAAACTGAAGAATTTATTTAAAATATATACGTCAGGCCAGGCATAGTGGCTCATGGCTGTAATCCTAGCATTTTGGGAGGCCTAAGCAGGCGGATCTCCTGAGCTCAAAAGTTCAAGACCAGGCAGGGCAACATGGGGAAACCCCATCTCTACTTAAAATACAAAAAATTAGCCAGGCATAGTGGTGCATGCCTATAGTCCCGGAGAACTACAGGCTGAGGCAGGAGAATCTCTTGAACCCAGGAGGTGGAGGAGGCTCCATTGAGTCAAGATCATGCCACTGCACTCCATCATGGGCAATAGAACGAGACTCTGTCTGAAAAAAAAAAAAGAAAAAGAAAAAGATTATGCTTAGTCATATTTTGCCTATTATAAATGACGCCCTAATTGCACCAAAGGATAACTATACAAGAAAGTGTATACATTTTACTTGTGGCATTCCTGAAAAACATATTTGGAGATTTTTTGGGATGACCAATTATGAAGTTTATTTTTGGTGATTCTGGAACCTCTGTTAGTCTTTTCTTCTTGATTACAATTTTGGCATTCCCCAAGGCCACACCTGAGTGTGACTTCTCCATTTTTATCTGGCTCACAAGAGTGAGTTACTTCTACCCTGATTGTTCGAATTGCAAACACCATAGAATGGGTCAGGCGCAGTGGCTCACGCCTGTAATCCCAGCACTTTGGGAGGCCAAGGTGGGTGGATCACAAGGTCAGGAGTTCAAGACCAGCCAGGCCAACACAGTGAAACCTTGTCTCTTCTGAAAATACAAAAAATTAGCCAGATGTGCTGGCGGGAACCTACAATTGCAGCTACTCAGGAGGCTGAGGCAGGAGAATCACTTGAACCTGGGAGGCGGAGGTTGCAGTGAGCTAAGAACATGCCATTGCACTCCAGCCCAGGTGACAGAGCGAGACTCTGTCCCCAATAAAACAAAACAAAACAAAACATAGACTGAGCTGTGTTGATATCTCAAAACACTCCATGGACACTTTGTCATCCAGGGCCCTTTTTTTTTTATACTGTGCTCTTTAAATTATTAAAGTGCTCAGTATCATAGGATGAAATTAGTGGGAAAGGGAATTTTTCAAGTTTTCTAGTGGCTACATGGTATACTCCTGTTACAACTTGTTGGCATTCAGATTGTCAGCTGTTTACAACATTTTCTATTAAATGTTATTAGCCTTAAATCCCAACCAACTCCGTAAATGTGTTGATCAGTGAGTACATTGTGAAGTTTGAAGGTGAGCTAGGCTGAGTAAATTTTGCATGGTGTTACTCTGTATTAATCATAAACATATAAAAGCAGATTTGAGTTCCTTTAAGTGCCAATAGCAGGTTAATGTATTGATTACACTATATGTGGAGGTAAGGCTTTCTAACTAAAGCTTTCTTTTTCAATTTCAACATTCACCCATTAGCTCTTCGCTCTAAATTAAGTTTAATGTAATAATAATATTCATCATTGGCCTGTTTATCTCGTTTTCCTCAAACAGGGAAAGGCTTTTAAAAAATATTGATAGAGTGCTGGGCGTGGTGGCTCACACCTGTAATCCTAGCACTTGGGGAGGCAAGGCAGGCGGATCACAAGGTCAGGAGTTTGAGACCAGTGTGGCCAACATGGTGAAACCTAGTCTCTACTAAAAATACAAAATTAGCTGGTGTGGTGAAGGATGCCTGTAGTCCAGCTACTTGTGAGGCTGAAGCAGGAGGCAGAGGCAGGAGAATCGCTTGAACCCAGAGATGGAGGTTGCAGTGAGCTGAGACCTCGCCATTGCACTCCAGCTTGGGCAATGGAGTGAGACTCCGTCTCAAAAAAAAATTGATAGATGTGAGGAAATATTGGAACATTTACTTGAATTTTTTTTAACAGGTTATAGATGCTTGGTAATCAAGAACATACTGGTTGCTGAGATGTGCAGAATTTAGTTGAGTAGAGCGAGGACCCTGGAGAGTCCTTTAGCAGGCGCCCAATTTATGGGTTTTGTTGAATTACAGGGAGTCCTGTCAGGGTATTAGAGTTCATAAAAATCCTCTTCTGGAGAATTCAGCTGTATTACCATATAATTAGCCTTGAAAGAACAGGTCAACACTCTGGCGGAATTCTAGACTTTTATATGCAAAAAAGCTTTTCCCTGGGGAGGGAATGCAGTTGCCGGGACTTTCACTTCTAGCAACTTGTTTGTCATGCTTCCTAGTCTTAGATTCTCTTAAACTTACATTTCTGATTTTGTTTTTTTTCTTATAGATATTTATCCCCATTTTACAAGGCCTGGCTCTTGCTGCCAAAGAGTGCTCCCTCGATAGTGACTACTTTAAATACCCCCTCATGGTAAAGCTTTGTTCTTTTTTCTTTAACTCATTTAATCAATGTTTTTCTTTCAGATTATTTTGACATACACTTTTCTTTCAGGTTCATGATCAACCTTGTTTTCACACTTAAAACACGAAATCGCCGTGTTGGCCATGCAGTGTTTGGTGTGCAGTGAGATGAGTCAGTGAAGACAGTTAGCAGCCTGGTACTTATTCACCTATACAAGCTGTAGACAGGAGTTAGTGATGCACTTACTACCATGTACTTTGCCATACTGTACAGCTTATGACAAAGATAGCTATTGTGGTATCCTTTCATTCTCTTAGCAATGAACATACCATACTTTGGATGAAATTTTGTTATTTTTTAAAAAAACAAAAATGGCTGGGTACAGTGGCTCACGCCTGTAATCCCAACACTTTGGGAGACCAAGGCGGGCAGATCACGAAATCAGGAGTTTAAGACCAGCCCGACCAACATAGTGAGTGAAACCCCGTCTCTGCTAAAAATACAAAAATTAGTCAGGCATGGTGGGGCACACCTGTAGTCCCAGCTATTCGAGAGGCTGAGGCAGGAGAATCACTTGAACTGGGTAAGTAGAGGTTGTGGTGAGCCAAGATCATGCAACTGCACTCCAGCCTGGACAACAGAGCAAGACTCTGTCTCACAAAAAAAAACAACTATTAAAAATGTAAATTAAAAGCAAAGTTGTACATGCTAAGAAAGCTAATACAATTTTATCTTTATGTGTTTACTTTGTGCAGAAAATCTCAGGGTAACTCTCTTGTTCACCTTCCCTGTTTCCTAAAACCATACACTTTGTCTACAGGCTTTAAGTGGGAAGGAAAAACCTGCTTAGCTCTTGAAGGCACTAGAGCAAGTGTAAATTGTGGACAGAAGTTTCAGCGAGATTCCCATGGGGGGACTTGACTGTTGTGAAAACGCTGAAAGTAGAATGAAAATTAGAAGCCCTTTTCTTTTCTGAATTTGCTATTTGAAATTTTGGGAGAAGAATATTTTGAAGTATTACTGAATATTTTTCATTGCAGAAGTATAAAGGAAAAGATATCAAAATGAAACTAGTTTATTTTGTGTATAAATTAACTCTTACATAAATTGAGACGATGATTAAGTTGTTTTTCTTGCTGTATTTGTTTAACTCATTCCACTGATTGGATTCCATTATACCATGAATTTATTACTGAGTATCTGTTCTGTGCTAGACCTGGGGATTCAGAAGCTAGGAAGACAAGGTCCCTCTCCTCAAGGCTACTGCAAAAATAAGAGCTACAGCACAACAGTTGAACAGATATTGTGATAAATGCTAAAACAGCTGGACACAAAGCATGCATTCATCTGTTTAAAAAATTCAAACCTATCATGACACTAAAGGGCTACAAGAAAGCTGGGAAATTAGAAGGTGAAACCAGAATTCCTACTTTAAAAAATAATTTTGAGTGGATTTACGCCAGAGCTCTTTCCGTTGTACACATTACTAGGGCTCCTGTTAAAATTTTTTGAATCCTTAGGTATTGTTCTGCCTGTGGCAGATGAAAGGAAGTGAAATAATCTGATTGTTTGAGTTCAATGATGAAGTATTTTAGTGAACACTAATTATCACAGTATTATATAAATGTTCCTGCATGGGATTGTTGGCTTTTGGGTTTTGGTGTGAATTAGCTTGATGTTTCAGTGAGGAGCTTTTAGCATCTGATACCAACAAAATGTCCTTTTGGTCAAAAGACAGAGGCCTCCATTGTGGTAGACAGTGATTTCATTTTGTGCCATTATTGATGCTTGTCTAATAACGAGGGTGCAGTGAGTGAGACGGTGCAATAATGAGAGTCAGGGAGAGGAAGCCTGGAAGCTAAACTCAGAAATAATCGTGATCATTCGCTAGGTCAGTGGATCTTGCTGTGCCATACCTTCGAATCAGCTGGGGGTCTTTAAAGGGGCTTATGCCTGGCTGCCCGCCCTAGACATTTCGATTGAATTCACCAGGGGTGTGGCATAACCACTGGTGTTTCCAAAGGCTTCCCACATGAAAAACTTTTTTGTAAGAAACATAGATAGATAGATACAGTGCACAAAATTAGATCTGGAAAACTGTTGCTCAGAATATCAGTAGAGGTTATCTTTGAGGGTAAAGTTTGAGTAAGTTTTAGTTTCATTTTATATTTCTGTTTTCAAGTTTTTCACATTGCACATGTATTCATTTATTAATCAGAAAGAGTAGTAAAGCTGCTGCCTTTTCAGCGGGAATGCATGTGTGCCATTGTAGAGGGAATGCATTTATAGCAGCAGTTAAAGCTGTTTCTTGATGCTACAAATGACAGTCAGTTTCAGATGAAATGCATTTAAATGACTCTGATCTTATTTCTAGGCACTAGGTGAGCTCTGTGAAACCAAGTTTGGGAAGACACACCCTGTGTGCAATTTGGTAAGCACTCACCTGATGGGCTTGCACGTTTTCAGTGAATATATCGTAACCCAGAAGGCATTCCTCCAGTGAGATGACCTGGAAAACTTCTCTTGAAGGACATTTAGGTGTAGGCGGAGGTAACGTGTCTGGAAGGCTCTCAACTGTTACATTATTGTTAGACACGTTATTTCCTGTATTACAGTTGTTCATTTCTATGATTTTTTTCCCTTTTATTTTTTCTAAGACAGAATCTCGCTCTATCACCCAGGCTGGATGGAGTGTAGTGCTGCGATTTCAGCACATGGCAGCCTCCACCTCCTGGGTTCAAGTGAGTCTCGTGCCTCAGCCTCCCAAGTAGCTGGGAATACAGGTGCACACTACTATGCCAGGCTAAATTTTTTTTTTGTATTTTTAGTAGAGATGCAGTTTCACCATGTTGGCCAGGCTGGTCTCAAACTACTGACCTCAGGTGATCCACCTGCCTCAGCCTCCCAAAGTGCTGGGATTACAGGTGTGAACCACCACACTGGGCCTGATTTTTTTTTCCTTTATAAGTATTGTACAACTAAACTAACAAGTCCTATGGAAAAGTTATTCAAGTCCTTTGGTAGTATAAGTAAGAAGAGTTCATTTGAACTTGATCAAATAATATCTTGAAACATAAAAACTTATTTTTTTTTTCTTTTGAGACAGAGTCTTGCTCTGTCACCCAGACTGGAGTGCAGTGGTACAGTCTTGGCTCACTGCAACCTCTGCCTCCTGGGTTCAAGCGATTATCTTGCCTCAGCCTCCCCAATAGCTGGGATTACAGCTGTATGCCACCACACCTGGCTACTTTTTGTATTTTTAGTAGAGATGGGCTTTTTCCATGTTGGCCAGGGTGGTCTCAGACTCCTGACCTCAGGTGACCCACCCCCACCTGTATTGGCCTACCAAAGTGCTGGGATTACAGGTGTGAGCCACCGTGCCTGGCCGAAACAAAAGTTTTAATAATATCTTGTGAAAATATAGAGGAGCTGGCGGGTTTTCATTGCATTTTTCCCTCACCGGCCCGTCGAGCGGCTTGACCAGCCTCTTCCATCTTCCCTCCTAGGTTGCTTCTTTGCCGTTGTGGTTGCCGAAATCCTTAAGCCCTGGCTGTGGGCGGGAGCTGCAGAGACTCTCTTACTTGGGGGCTTTCTTTAGCTTCTCAGTCTTTGCAGAAGATGATGTAAGTATACTGGCTACTTATGCTTTGCTGCTCTTTTATTCAGATTCTTTCCCAAATGTACACTATATGTTGATTGCATTTTTTCCTTCTCTTTCCAGGTTAAAGTGGTTGAAAAATATTTCTCAGGGCCTGCCATTACCCTGGAAAACACTCGTGTGGTTAGCCAATCATTGCAGCATTACTTAGAACTCGGAAGGGTAAGTGCTCAGAAAACAAATCCAGAGAAAGTACAACGGATGAGCTTCAGATGGGGGGCTCCTATTTTGTAGACTGGAGGATGCCTGGTACACAAACGGCTAACAAAAGCCAATTTGATCTTATATAAAAAAGATAAACCCTAAGTAAGTAACCTGTGTTTGGAATAACAATTGTAACAACAGCAGTGTGCTGCCTTTGTATGTAGCACCACTGGAAGCTGGTCCTAAGCTTAGTGGCCCTGCTCCTCCTCCAGCTGGCCCTTGGCCATTTACACTATGGGGGTGGGCAAGAGCTGTTTGTTTGCACACACCCCTCACTGACTTGCTTATCCCAAATGCAGATTAATATGTCTTCAGTTCTCAAACTTAAAGGCAGAGAAAGGCTGGGCATGATGGCTCTCCCCTGTAATCACAGCACTTTGGGAGGCCAAGGGGGGTGGATCACCTGAGGTCAAGAATTCAAGACCAGCCTGGCCAAGATGGCAAAACCCTGTCTCTACTAAAAATACAAAAATTAGCCAGGCGTGGTAGTGCATGCCTGTAATCCCAGCTACTCGGGAGGCTGAGGCACGAGGATCGCTTGAACCCAGGAGGTGGAGGTTGCAGTGAGCTGAGATCACGCCACTGCACTCCAGCCTGGGCAACAGAGCAAGACTTCATCTCAAAAAAAGAAAAAAGGCAGAGAAGTTATAGGCTTGGATAACTAAGGTAATTTTGATCATGGAAAGGAAGTAACAAAGGCTATTTTATCAAAATTGTAACTGCCGGCCAGGCACGGTGAAACCCAGCCTCTACTAAAAATATGAAAATTAGCTGGGCATGGTGACACGTGCCTGTAAATCCCAGCTACTCGGGAGGCTGAGGCAGGAAAATCACTTGAGCCCAGGTGGTGGAGGTTGCAGTGAGCTGAGATCGCGCCACTGCACTCCAGCCTGGCAACAGAGCTAGACTTTGTCTCAAAAATAAACCAAAAAAAATATTACTGTAACTGCCTACCTCCCCCACTCCATATTCTTGCTTTCATGCTGATTACCTTGACACAGTTCAATATGGATATTTCTTATATTCTTCTTTCACTGAGGCTCTCCTAAAATGAGTAGAAGTGGGAGAGAAGAGAACGTGGGAAGTAGATTAGCTGTTCTTAAAGTCAAAAAGGAATTGTGTTCAAAATAGTTTTAATTTGTTTCTTCTTTTTTAAAACAAATTTCAGCAAGAGCTTTTTAAGATTCTGCATAGTATTTTGTTAAATGGTGAAACCCGTGAGGCTGCTCTCAGTTACATGGCGGCTGTCGTCAATGCCAATATGAAGAAGGCGCAGATGCAGGTAGGATTCTCGTTTGTCAAATTCGTTCATCTGACCCAGATTTAGTCAGCACCTACTAGGCATTGTTCTAGGAATGGGGGTACAGTATTGAACAAGGTAGATGAGCTTCCTGCTTTTGCGGAGCTCGTGTTCCACAGGGTAAATGAGTAGACATATAAATATATGATTTTAGACAGTCGTAGAATCAATGAAGAAAACAGAGCAAAATAAAGACTGTGAGAAAAACTGTAGTTACCAGCAGGAAGGTATGAAGGTGATTTTTGATTGTGTGGCAGGAAAGGCCTCTCTGAGGAGGTGACATTGGTTAGATAGCAAAGAGCTAGCCATTGCAGTGCTGAGAAAAGAGCTTTCTAGGCATGTGTAAGGCTCTTAAGGTGGAAACAAAGCAGTTTTGTTACAACCCCAGCAGGCAGGCCTTTGTGGCTAGAGAAGAGTGAACAGGAGGGAATGGTGGGTCCTGGAGTTAGTGGGTGGACAGGGCTCCATGGGAGGGTTTTCAGCAGGGAAACCACAAAAGCTGCCATGTCGATGGACTAAAGCAGAAGGGGGCGGCGGGGAACAGACCCAAGGAGGCAGCTGCAAGGGCATGAGTGCATCAATCCAGGTGAGAGAGGACACTGGCTGTGGCTGCTCTGCCAGAGGAGAAAAGGACATCCTTCCTTGGTTATTAATAAATAATGAATGAATGATGTGACGCATATACTCAGAAGCAAAAAAATATAGAGAGAAGAGCATAAATTTGAATTCTGATCATGATTCCACCGTTTACTAACTGCAGGACCTTAGTTACTTCTCTGTGCCTTCATTTCCCCATCTGCTAAGTGGGGTTAATACTAGTACTGGGTTTATTATATGTAAAGCTGTTAGAATGGTGCCTGGTACACAGTGATCACTCAGTCAGTGTTAACTGTCATTCTTATTGTCATATTATTATTTTGTTCTTAACAGAGGTAATCAGGTTACATTGTTATATTGTTAATGCAGGAGTGTGCTGATGCTGTCACCTAGAGAAACAATGTCACATGATAAGTGGAAGTAGTTGTTTTGATGCTCTTGAGGGAAATAAAGAGGAGAAAGAGGCTGGGCATGGTGGCTCACACCTGTAATCCCAGCACTTTGGGAGGCTGAAGTGGGAGGATCACTTGAACCCAGGTGTTTGAAACCAGCCCTGGCAACATAACAAGACGCCAACTCTACAAAAAATACAAAAATTATCTGGGCTTAGTGGCACAAGCCTGTAGTTCCAGCTACTTGGGAGGCTGAGGCGAGAGGATCACTTGAGCCTGGGAGGTCGAGACCTGCCTGGGCAAAATAGGGAGACCCTGTCTCTACAAAAAAATTTAAAGTAGCCCAGTGTAGTCGCACATGCCTGTAGACCCAGTTATTCAGGAGGCTGAAACAGGAGGATCACTTACGCCCAGGAGGTTGAGGCTGCAATGAGCCACGTTTACACCACTACACTACAGCCTGGGCGAGAGAATAAAATCCTGTCTCAAAAAAAAAAAAGAAAGCAACATACTTTGTGTTTCTACTTACTAATTTTGAGGCTCAGGCAAATCATTTCAGAGTCACTGAGTCTGTGTTTCCTCCTGTATAAAATGTTAACAGCAGTATTACTGACTGTAAGAGTTACTGTGGTGGTTCAGTAAAGGAATGTATAAAATGTCTCTGATATAAATAATAATTATGTAATAGGTGCTCTTCAACAAGTAGTACCTGCTAATAGAATTAATAGAATGCCAGTGGTGATGATATGTATGTCCTGTAATTGACTTTAGGATATGGTTATATTTTAAAGTTCAATCTGCTCTCTTACAAAGTTTGCCAAAATTTCTATTCATGTTGTTATTTTAAATACTTTTTCTTGGCTGGGCACAGTGGCTCACACCTGTAATCCCAGAACTTTGGGAGGCCGAGGTGGGTGGATCGCCTGAGGTCAGGAGTTCAATACCAACCTGGCCAACAAGGTGAAACCCTGTCTTTACTCAAAATACAAAAATTAGCTGGGTGTGTTGGCACTCGCCTGTGGTCCCAGATACTTGGGAGGCTAAGGTGGGAGGATTGCTTGAGCCTGGGAGGTGGAGGTTGCAGCTGAGATCACACCCCTTCACTCCAGCCTAGGCAACAGAGCAAGACCCCATCTCAAAAAAAAATTTTTTTTTTAATATTTAAAAATACTTTTTTTTTCTTCTTTCACAGACAGATGATAGATTAGTATCTACAGATGGATTTATGCTGAATTTCCTTTGGGTACTACAGCAGCTAAGTACAAAAATCAAGTTAGAAACAGTTGATCCCACGTATATTTTTCACCCACGATGTCGAATTACTCTTCCAAATGATGAGACGCGTGTGAATGCAACGATGGAAGATGTGAATGACTGGCTGAGTGAACTCTGTGAGTACTGTGTTCATGACTAGGTCATTAAAACACTGCCCTCTTCTCTGGGTGCTAGTAATTCCTCACAGATTGTTACCACCACACCATAAATTGACTGTATGAGATAGAGAAATGTAATAAAAATTAATACACTAAAAATTCTTGTTGGGATCAGTCAAAACAAATAGATATATAGGAAAAATGGAAGGAAATATACTATTCTGAGTTAAACAGAAAAAATAAAAATGATAATGGCAACTTAGGTATATAGATTATCTTAGCTATGATAGTATCAAGTTTTATATATAGAATGTATATACCCATTAAAAGTCTCATGAAATATTTCACAGATGTTGATGAATTGATGGTTTGAGAGTAGGAATATTTTAAAGGGGTTATAATTGTTGATCTTTTCTCTATATAATATAAAACATATTGACTGGGTGCAGTAGCTCATGTCTATAATCCCAGCACTTTGGGAGGTCAAGGCAGGCGAACTACATGAGCCCAGCAGTTTGAGACCAGGTGGGCAACATGGCTAAATACTGTCTCTACAAAAAATACCAAAACTAGCTGGGTTTGGTGACTACCCGGGAGACTGAAGAGGGAGGGTCACCTGAACCCAGGGAGGTCAAGGCTTCACTGAGCTGTCATCAGGCCACTATACTCCAGTCTGGTGGCAGAGTAAGACCCTGTCTCAACAACAACAAAAAATACTATTTAATGACAGACATCAAAATCCCATGGCAGCCAGGTGCAGTGGCTCATGCTTGTAATCCTAGCACTTTGGGAGGCTGATGCAGGCGGATCAAGAAATCAGGAGTTCAGGATCAGCCTGGCCAAGGTGGTGAAACTCATCTCTACTGAAAATACCAAAAAATTAGCTGGGCGTGGTGGTGTGTGCCTGTAATCCCAAACTACTTGGGAGACTGAGGCAGGAGAATCACTTGAACCCAGGAGTCAGAGGTTGCAGTGAGCCAAGACCTCGCCACTACACTCCAGCCTGAGCAGTAGAACAAGACTCTGTCTCAAACAAAAAAAAAGGCATTTATTTTATTTTATTTTATTTATTTATTTATTGTGAGACAGAGTCTCATTGTGTCGCCCACGCTGGAGTGCAGTTGTGTGATCTTAGCTCACTCCAGCCTCAGCCTCCCTGGGCTCAGGTGATACTCCCACCTCAGCTTCCAAGGTTCCTTGGACTACAGGCACATGCCACCATGCATAGCTGGTTTTTTTGTATTTTTTATAGAGATGGAGTTTTGCCATGTTGCCCAGGCTGGTCTCAAACTCCTGGGCTCAGGCAACCCATCCATCTAATTATTCATGAACAGGATGAATTCATGTTTACCTGGTAGTAGCAGCATTATGATTAGATGCACATATTCCAGAAAAATATTTCAACCGTTGTTGAATTATAAGCATAAAATGAACAATAAAGTCAGTATCTAATTGTCATTTGAATGAACAGCTAAAATATAAGAGAAAACCAAAGAGGATTTCACCCAGCTGTGAAGGAGGGAGAAGTGTATCCTTTGAGAAATGAAGTAGCCAGGCATGGTGGCTCATGCCTATAATCCCAGCACTTTGGGAGTTATAGGCAGGAGGATCAGTTGAGCTCAGGAGTTCAAGACCAGCCTGGCCAACGTGGCAAGACCTCATCTCTACTAAAAATAAAAAGCTTAGCTGGGTATGGTGCCATGAATCTATAGTCACAGTTCCCAGTTACTAGAGAGGCTGGAATGGGAGGATGGCTTGAGCTCAGGAGGTTGAGGCTACAGTGAGCCATAATCGTGCCACTATACTCCAGCCTTGGTGAGAGAGAGACATCATCTTAAAAAAAAAGAGGCCAGGTGCCTTGGCTCATGCCTGTAATCACAGCACTTTAGAAGGCCAAGGCAGGTGGGTCACCTGAAGTCAGGAGTTCTAGATCAGCCTGGGCAACATGGCAAAACCCCATCTCTACTACAGAATTAGCCAGGCTTGGTGGTATGCACCTGTAATCCCAGCTACTCCAGAGGCTGAGGCAGGAGAATCGCCTAGAACCTGGGAGGCAGAGGTTGCAGTGAGCCGATATCGTGCCACTGCACCCCAGCCTCAGCAACAGAGGGAGACTCTCTCTTAAAAAAAAAAAAAAAGAAAAGAAAGAAATGAAGCATAATATATCAGATATAATATGTATGTGTCTTAATAGTATTTAGAATAGAAAAAAATTAGAAAAAAAGAAATATCCAGAGAAATGGCTCTGGAATCAATTTATTAACATAATACCATTTTGAGATTTAAATATTTGTGTATGGTGTTGAAAAAAGGAGATTTTTTTTGTTTTTTTTTAAGAGATGGGGTTTCCCTCTGTTGCCCAGGCTAGAGTGCAGTGGGTATTCACAGGCGCGATCCCACTACTGGTCAGCATGGGAGTTTTGATCTGCTCCGTTTCTGGCCTGGGCCGGTTCACCCCTCCTTAGGCAACCTGGTGGTCCCCTGCTCCCGAGAGGTCACCATATTGATGCCTATCGGCATAGCGCACTGCAGCCCAGAACTCCTGGACTCAAGTGATCCTTCAGCCTCAGCCTCCTGAGTAGCCGGGACTGCAGGCATGCGCCACCACCCCTGCAAAAAAAGGAGACTTTTATACAATACGTCAGTAAGGAACATCACCAAATATTGTTGACGGGCTGGGAATGGTGGCTCACACCCATAATCCGGGCACTTTTGGAGCCTGAGGCTTGAGCCCAGGAGTTCAAGATCAGCCTGGGCAACATAAGGAAACCCCATCTCTACAAAGAAAAAAATTAGCCCAGCATGGTGATACACGCCTGTGTTCCCAACCACCTGGGAGGCTGAGACAGGAGGATCACTTGAGACCTGGAAATTGAGGCGGCAGTGAGCTTTGATTATACCACTGCACTTCAGCCTAGGTGACAGAGTAAGACCCTCTCTCAAAAAAAAATTGTTGATGGACATCTATATATACATTTAACTAGGTAGGACAGAATACCTGGTCCTTGAATGGAACTAAGAGGAATTCTCTTCTTCTTATAGCATTGCTTAAATTTATAATTGATAAAGTATCCTTACACTTCTGGCCAGGCATGGTGGCTCATGCCTGTAATCCCAGCACTTTGGGAGGCCAAGGAGGGTGGATCGCCTGAGGTCAGGAGTTTGAGACCAGCCTGCCCAACATGGTGAAACCCTGTCTCTCCTAAAAATGCAAAAGTAGCCAGGTATAGTGGTGCATGCCTGTAATCCCAGCTACTCAGGAGGCTGAGGCAGGAGAATCACTTGAACTGGGGAGGCGGAGTTTGCAGTAAGCCAAGATCATGCCATTGCACTCCTGCCTAGGTGACAAGGGCAAAACTCCATCTCAAAAAATAAATAAATAAATAAATAGTATCCTTAAACTTCATAAAAATTCAAATGTAATTTTCTCTTCCAAATTGAGCTTTTTCTCTGATGGAGACATGTAATAGATTTTATTTAGGGAATTATGTTATTTTTCCTAGATGGCGATCAGCCTCCATTTTCTGAGCCGAAATTCCCTACGGAGTGCTTCTTTCTCACCCTGCATGCTCACCACCTCTCTATTCTGCCTAGTTGCCGTCGCTACATCCGCAGACTCCGGGCTATCCGGGAGCTCAATAGGTATGTGCCATGATGCTGTGTCCTGGGATTGCCTGTGTTACCACTTTCTCTCAGGGGTATGCAGTTCCATTGTGAACCATAGTTTTGAATGTTGGGGGAGGTATGTACGCTATATAGTGTTCTGTCTACCTCTACCACCACATCCGTGTTCCTCAGTTGTCCAGAGTTCTTTGCCTGGTAAAGTGATCCAAACCTTGATTTCTGAGAGTTCTGAACCCTGGGTATTTCACTCTGTTTATATTAACTACAGACTTCCATTAACTTTTCCCACTGGGCATACATTACTAGGAGGCACTTTAAAGGATCCCCTGGGTTTCAGACATACCCTTTCCTCCCTGCACTGTGAAAAAGTAACCACGGGGCCAGGTGTGGTGGCTCTCGCCTGTAATCCCAGCGCTTTGGGAGGCCAAGGTGGGTGGATCATAAGGTCAGAAGTTCAAGACCAGCCTGGTGAAGATGGTAAAACCCCATCTCTACTAAAAATACAAAAATTAGCCAGGCGTGGTGCGGTGCCTGTAATCCCCCTTACTCAAGAGGCTAAGACAGAGAATTGTTTGAACCCAGGAGCGGAGGTTGCAATGAGCTGAAATCACATCACTGCACTCCAGCCTGGGTGACAGAGCAAAACTTCATCTCAAAGAAAAAGAAAAAGGAAAAGTAAGCATGGTTTTCCTTGATAATCAAGATCATTTACTCCTGCCAACATGTAATTCTCTTTTTGGCTGTTCTGTGGCATGAGGAGTCCAAAATGGCCAGATAGCAGCCTAAATTCCCAGTTCATTAGTACCATTGTTGTGTTTCTTAATCTAAGCATTTCTTCCTGTGTACTAACACCAACAAACAAACAAGTCACAGGAACACAGAAGCAAGTATTTTTGAGCAGGTCATCTGGAATAATAATGAAGCCACTTGTGCTTTTTGGTCTAGAACCTGTGTAGTCTGGCTATGAGAGAAACTGAATCATATTTGTATCTCTGGATCTATCTTGCTTAAATCACTTACTATTTTTTTTTTTTTTTTTCAGATGGAGTCTCGCTCTTTCACCGAGGCTGGAGTGCAGTGGTGCAATCTCAGCTCACTGTAGCCGCTGCCTCCCAGGTTCGAGTCTCCTGCTTCAGCCTCCCAAATAGCTGGGATTACAGATATGCACCACCACGCCCGGCTAATTTTTTGTATTTTTAGTAGAAACAGGGTTTTGCTACGTTGGCCAGGTTGGTCTCAAACTCCTGACCTCAGGTGATCCACTCACCTCGGCCTCCCAAAGTGCTGAGATTATAGGTGTGAGCCATCACCATGCCCAGCCTAATATCACTTACTAATTCTAATAGTTACTCTGCAGATTCTTTATGATTTAGTTTCTACACATAATCATGTCTATAAATGATGACAATTTTATTTCTTATACTTTTTTTTCATGTATTAATGCCTGGGCTATAATTTTTAGTACAATGTTAAATAGAAATAACCTCAAAATTTCCATATTGTTCCAGTTAGTGGAGGATAGCTTTCTATATATCCTCAGTTACCAGATTAAGAAAATTCTCTTTTATTTCAGTAGTTAATTCCCTTAGCACTAATTGAATTTTATTAAATGCTTTTGCAATATCCATTGAAGAGACTAGACTTTTTTCTCCTCTATCCTGTTAATGTGGTTGAATTATATTAGTTGGTTTTCTGTTATTAAACCAATCTTTTGCTCCTGGAGTAAATTTAACTTTAATGTTTTTATATCTCATTAGATACACAATTTGCTAATATTCTGTTTAGGATTTTTGCATCTGTTCAAAAGAAAGCCGGACCCATAATTTTCATTTCTTATTAAGTGCATCTCAAATTTTGGTATTAAGGTTACGCTGCCTTAACTAGGGGCTAGGTGTGGTGGCTCATGCCTATAATCCCAGCACTTTGGGAGGCTGAGGTGGATGGATCACCTGAGGTCAGGAGTTCGAGACCAACTTGGCCAACATGGTGAAATCCCATCTCTGTTAAAAATACAAAAATTAGCCAGGCGTGGTAGGTCATGCCTGTAATCCCATCTACTCAGGGGGCTGAGCAGGAGAATCACTTGATCCTAGGAGGCAGAGGCTGTAGTGAGCCAAGATGGAGCCACTGCACATCAGCCTGAGTGAGAGAGTGAGACTTTGTCTCACCAAAAGCAAAAAAAAAAGGAACTGGAGAATGTTCTCCTTTTTTTATGTTCCCTGGAAGAGTTTATTGTATAAGAATTATGTTGTTTCTTCCTTAAATGTCAGAAAAAATTTAGTGATTAAGTTGTCAGAGCTTAAGAGCTTTCTGTGTCGGGATATTTTTAATTATGGATTTAAGTCAGTTAAAAGATACAGGACTATTTAGATTTTCTTTCCATCTTGTGTCAGTTTTACTATCTAAAGTTTGAAAATGTTTTGACATGAAGTTGCTTATAATATCTTTTTTATCATTTTCATGGCTGTGGGATCCTTATTATTTCTGCTTTTAGTTTTAATTTGCTTTCTGTTGCCTCTTGAGATGGGTGTTTAGATCATCCTTTTCAACTCTTTCTCTTATGTATTTGTTTAAGACTATTTTGTTTCCCTTTTAGTGTGGTTTTAGCTGCATCCCTCATTTTTAGTATATCATATCTTATTAGTCAGCTTAAAATGATTTCTAATTTTTGGGTTTTTTTAATATGACCTGTGAGTTATTTTTAAATACGTTATTTAAAATCTGGATTCTTAGGGTATTTGTCTATGTATCTTTTGTTAGTTGATTTCTAGCTAAATTCCATCATGGTCAGAAAATATATTCTATATGATTTATGTCTTTTGAAGTTTATTGAGAGTTACTTCATAGCCTTTTACATGAGTAGACCTGAAAAGACTGCTATCTGTATTGTTTTTACAGTGTTCACATATAGAATTTAGGTCAAGCTTGTTAATTCTCTGTTTAAGTTTTCCTTTTTATCTGCAGATTTTATCAGCTTATAATATCAATTACTGAGAGAGGCTTATAAAAATTTTAAACTATATTTGTGGATTTATCTGTTATCCTACAATGGATTACCATCCTGGCAAACCATCACTCCCACTGATTTTGGAGGGTCCATTTCAATGGCAGTATCTATAACCTTTGCTTCCAGCCCAGCTAGCAACAGATAGCCTTTACTGTGCTTTTCAGAGACATTTTTGTTTCCCTCATGTGTGTATTTTTCAATGCTGTGATACAGGAAGTATCTTCTAGGACATGGTTGGAGTGTGTGTATGTGTATTGGAAAGGGGATTATCTGAGGTAAATCACATATGGTAAATCTACCTTAATTTTCCAAGCTCTTTAAGTTTTCGAATCATTTCCTCTGAATTAGATCAAATAATATTTGGCAACTCAACTTCATTCAGTACAGGTCACTGTAAATTCAAAGTTTTGTCAACTAGTTGGTTGCACAATATGAACCTCTCCCAACTACTCAGAATAATACTGAATCCAGGGTCTCCAGTAGGTATAATCATGTCAATGATTTTAGCCCTACATAGAAGTATATCAGCATTTTCTTCTCTTGCTGATCAAGCATCTTCAAAATCCATTCCCATGTATAACCTACATAACCGTCATGTTTCTGGCAGTACATAGTGGTGGGTAGAAAAATGGCATCTCAAAGGTGCCCACATCCTAGTCTCAGAACCTGTGAATATGTTCTCTAACTTGGTTAAAGGGACTTTGCAGCTGTGATCAGGTTTATCATCTTGAGGTGGGAAGATTATCCTGGATTACGTGGGTAGATCCAGTGTCATCGCAAAGGTCTTCATAAGGGAGAAGGAATCAGGAGGGTCAGAGGGAGAGACAGAATGTGATGAGGAAGCAAATGTTGGAGTGGTTTGGGGTCATGAGCCAATCTGGTAACCTGGAAGCTGGAAAAGGCAAGGAAACTTGTTCTCCCCTAGAGCTTCTAGAAGAAACCATCCCTGCTGACCCTGTTAGACTTCCACAACTCTAAGACTATAACTGTGTAGTTTGGACCCACTAAGTCTGGTAACTTGTTATAGCAACAATAGAAAACCAGCATAATACATTAGCAAATCTTGCCATTTTTTTCCCCTTCAAATACGTACTTACCTGGCATGCTGTTTTGTAAGAAGGCCATAAGGACAGTCTGTGATCTGTCTCTAGTTGTGGTTCTGGAAGCAAAGAGGGATGATGGGATAGAACCTAGGGGAAGATAGTATTACCCTGCAGGTCACTGCCTCCAATTAGGTCATTATAGAAACTGCTTGTGCTAGCAAACAAGGTTCAGGGAATTTAGAGATTTAGGTACTTGGAGTCAGCTAGGTCGACCAGGCTCCTCTATTTGAATTCTATGGGTCCCAGTCTTTGCCTTAACTTTGAGATAAGAGGTCCAGTAAAGTTATTAACTTCTTCTGTACCGTAATTAGTAGAACTGGAGCTGATCCTTAAAATAGTCTTAGAAGCTTCCTGTCTTACAATTCTGAAGATCAGAAGTCCTAAAATCAGGTGGAGTGGCTCACACCTGTAACCCCAGCACTTTGGGAGGCCTAGGCAGGCAGATCACCTGAGGTCAGGAGAGACCAGCCTGGCCAACATGGTGAAACCCCATCTCTACTAAAAATACAAAAATTAGCTGGGCGTGGTAGTGCACGCCTATAGTACCAGCTACTCAAGACGCTGAAGCAGGAGAATCCCTTGAACCCAGGAGGCGAAGGTTGCATTGAGCTGAGATCATGCCACTGCCCTCCAGCCTGGAAGTGTGAGACTCTGTCTCAAAAAAAGAAGTCCTAAGATCAAGGTTACATTCCCTCCAGAGGCTCTAGAGGAGACTCTCCTTTGCCTTTTCCGTCTTCTAAAAGCTGCCTGCATTCCTCTGCTTATCCCCCCTTACTGTATTTTAAAGCCAGCAACATAGTATCTTTAGACCTCCTTCTCTTGCCTGGTGTATCTCAGCACTTCGGGAGGCCAAGGCGGGTGGATCACTTGAGGTCAGGAGTTTGAGACTAGCTTGGCCAACATGGTGAAACCTTGTCTCTACCAAAAAAATACAAAAATTAGCCAGGCATGGTGGCATACCACTGTAGTCCCTGCTACTCAGTTGGCTGAGGTAGGAGAATTGCTTGAACCTGGGAGGCGGAGGTTGCAGTGAGCTGGGATCATGCCACTGCACTCGAGGGCAACAGAGTGAGACCCTGTCTCAAAAAACAAAAAAAAACAAGAAAACAAGGCCAGGCATGGTGGCTCATGCCTGTAATTCAGCACTTTGAGAGGCTGAGGCAGGCAGATCGTTCTAGGTCAGAAGTTCGAGACCAGCCTGGCCAACATGTTGAAAATTCTGTCTCTATTAAAAATACAAAAATCAGCTAGACATGGTGGCAGGTACCTGTATTCCCAGCTATTTGGGAGTCTGAGTCAGGAGAATCACTTGAACCAGGATTCAGAGGTTGCAGTGAGCCAGATGATGCCATTGCACTCCAGCCTAGGTGACAGAGCAAGACTCAGTCTCAAAAAAAAAAGACAACACAATAACAAGATGTCCTTCTCTCTCTGACCTTTGCTTCCATTGTCCATTGTTAATCTCCTTCTCTGTCTCTGAGTCCTTTTTTCTCTTAGAAGGACCTTTGTGATTACGTTGGGCCCACCCAAATCATCCAAGATAATCTTCCCATCTCAAAGCCCATACCCATAATCACATCTACAGTGTCCCTTTCGCCTCGTTGGATCACATATTCCGAGGTTCCCTCCAAGGATTCGGATGTGACATCTTTGGAGGAGCCATTCGTTTGTCTGCCATACTCATGTTTTCAGTTGTAGACAAAAGAATCTAATTCATCTGTGATAAGCAGAAAGGGGAACTAGTTGGTTTATTGAATCATTGGAATGGCTATAATAGAAGATTCTCAGAGCTATACTTTGAACGAGGAAGCTGCTTTGGAGGTCAGCCTGACAGCACAGCCTCTGCCACAGCTTCAGCCAAAACCCCTCTACCACTGTGCTTCCAGAAGGATGCAATCATGCAACCACTTCACAGTACTCACCCTGCCTTAAGTGAGGGTTCATCTCTGGTAACAGCTAGGTCTTAAGAAATGCAGGCAGGCAGGGAGTCTAGGAAATGCAGTTTCTAGAGATTTAGCAACCTCTGGTCTTATACACAACATCATGATAGAAAGGGGTTGAAATACTGTTAAGTGAGCCAGTCTTTAAAATATGCAGCATATTAGGTGATGGGGAAGCCTTTGCTGCGGAGACAGATGGTGTTTGAGCAGCTGTCCAAAGGGAGTGAAGGAGCAAAGCCGCAGAGATAACCTCAGAGAGCAGCATCCAAGCAGAGGGAACAGTTGTAAAGGACAATGCCATTAGTAAAATAGCCTTTTGTTTTGGATAATTGAATAGGCATACTAACTTTGAATTTTCATGAGAGACTTCTCTTTTTCCCTCCCAGAAAAACAAGAGAACAGTGTACTTCCTTGTAACAAGAAATATGATTGTATTTCACCAAATCTACAGTGTCATCCATTTGAAGACACATTATTGTTTTAGGTACCAATAAGAAAAAAAAATGCTGCCAATTAAACTGTAACTTGCCACTGGTTGTAAGATATACTCTGATTTTAAAGATGTTACAATGCGAAAAACTAACCAACAACTGCGTGTGAGAGGCAGTGAAATGGGCCGGGCGTGGTGGCTCATGCGTGTAATCCCAGCACTTTGGGAGGCCGAGGCGGGTGGATCACTTGAGGTCAGGAGTTCGAAACCAGCGTGTCCAACATGGCAAAACCCCATCTCTTAAAAAAAAAAAAGAGAGTCAGTGAAATGGTCAAGATGCATGGATAAGATGGATCCGGCTGTTTTCTTTCATTTGACTATTAGTCTTTGATTTCAGAACTGTGGAAGATTTGAAAAATAATGAAAGCCAATGGAAAGATTCCCCACTGGCAACTAGACACCGCGAAATGCTGAAGCGCTGTAAAACTCAGCTTAAGGTCTGTATAGTTAATTGGCATAATTGTAGACCAGCCTCATAATGATAAGTTTCTCAATAGAATACATACCTTGAGTGAGCAGTTTAGTGTCCTTACTTTTTTTTCATTATTCTTTTCCCTTCAGATAAAATAGCACATTTTAAAACTTGTTGATACCTTACTTATATCTGTGTATAATGATTTAAGTCTCAGGGCAGACTATGGGTAGATATACTTACGCCGGGACTGTGAATTCTTAGTGGCTTTTATGATTCTCAGTTTAACATCACCTCCCCTTCCCTACCTTATGCAAAGCCCTCCTCACCTGCTCTCCCAGCCACTCACCCCAACATTCACGCATACTCCAGTCTATCTAGCCATTTGTTTTCTGAGACAGAGTCTTGCTTTGTTCCCCAGGTTGAAGTGCAGTGGTGCCATCTCAGCACAGTGCATACATTTTCATGATCTTTGACAAAGCAGATCTGTGGTAGTGGAAAGATCTCTTTCCTTTGCCTCTGTTCTTCTTTTAATGAAAATGATTTGTCACACCAAACCTAACTACAGATGGGAATATTCTTGCTGGTGAGACATAGCTAAAAACGTATGCCAGCTGTCATTGTACAAAGAAAGCATAGATGGCAAATTTATGCATTTTTCTTCTATTCATGTTCCGGTTATAAACCTGAATGTTAGCTGGTCATGCATTCTGTTGAATAGGATAATACGCGGAAAGTTTACCTGACATAGCTTTCTGGTACAAATTAAGATTTCAGTTTTATTTACAAATGGACTAGACTTCCAAGATGCACAGTTCACCAGGGGCCCTTATCTGGGGTCTGTGGACCCCCCCTGAAGCAGTCCACAGATGTGTTTTAAGGGGTCTGTAAACTGCTTAAATGGCCAGGGATGGTGGCTCAATCCCAGCACTTTCGGAGGCCGAGGTGGGCAGATCACCAGAGGTCAGGAGTTCAAGACCAGCTTGGCCAACATGGTGAAACCCTGTCTCTACTAAAAATACAGAAATTAGCCAGGTGTGGTGGCACACGCCTGTAATCTCAGCTATTTGGGAGGCTAAGGCAGGAGAATTGCTTGAACCAGGGAGGTTGCACTGTGCTGAGATGGCACCACTGCACTTCAACCTGGGGAACAAAGCAAGACTCTGTCTCAGAAAACAAACAACAACAAAAAAAACTGCTTAAATTTCTGTGTCAGTGTATGCCTGTGTGTGTGTAATTCTATTAACAGGCCTCTAGGTGGGAATTCCGTGTGTGTGTGTGGGTGTGTGTGTGTGCATAATTCCATCAACAGGCCTCTAGATAGGAATTCCATCCTTAGTGGACCAGCATTTTTCCAAGGGCAGCTTGTAAAAGGTGGTGCTGGAATACTGATTGTTTGGCTTTTTCCCACTATTTACCCTGACACCCAATCACCACCCTCTCCCAGTCAAGTTATTTATAGGCCACGGTAGTAACTCACCACTTTATACTAGACTTGGTAGTACTCAGTGGTTTGCTTGCCATGCCTTTGTTTTTCTCAGGAAAAAGATCTTGAGATACAACCAGCATCTTATAGCTAGTTAGAGATGAAGCTCTAGACGCTCTGGAACCTAGATTTCCCATCTCCTGGCCCCAATCCCGCTGTAGGGATTTAGCTGTTGACTAATCTTTGGGTATGGGCATCCTGCTTCCACAGAAACTGGTACGGTGCAAGGCCTGTGCTGATGCTGGCCTACTTGACGAGAGCTTTCTGAGAAGATGTCTGAATTTTTATGGCCTTCTCATTCAGCTGCTGCTCCGCATCCTGGACCCCGCATATCCCGAGTGAGTGAGCTTCTTTCTCTCTCCCTTGTCCCTCCCTGGCTGGGCTGTGTTGTTTTTTTTAAGTCCTTCAAAGTTGTTAACTAAAACTAAAACCCTTTCTTTATCAAGAATTCACTTCTCTTGGCCAGGCGCGGTGGCTCACGCCTGTAATCCCAGCACTTTGGGAGGCTGAGGCAGGCAGATCACCTAAGGTCAGGAGTTCAAGACCAGCCTGGCCAACATGGTGAAAACCCCATCTCTACTAAAAATAAAAAAATGTTAGTTCGTTATGGTGACATGCGCCTGTAGTTCCAGCTACTCGGGAGGCTGAGGCAGGAGAGTTGGTTGAACTGGGGAGGCGGAGGTTGCAGTGAGCCGAGATCGTGCCACTGTTCTCCATCTCAAAAAAAAAAAAAAAGGAGGAAAAAAAATTCAATTATTGGAAGGGTGTGGTGGCTCACGCCTATGATCCCAGCAGTTTGGGAGACAAAGGCGGACAGTCACTAGAGGTCAGGAGTTCGAGACCAACCTGACCAACATGGTGAAACCCCATCTTTACTAAAAATACAAAAATTAGGCCGGGCACAGTGGCTCATGCCTGTAATCCCAGTACTTTGGGAGGCCAAGGCGGGTGGATCAGCAGAGGTCGGGAGTTCAAAACCATCCTGACCAACATGGATAAACCCTGTCTCTACTAAAAATACAAAATTAGCCGGGCATGGTTGTTCATGCCTGTAATCCCAGCTGCTCGGGAGGCTGAGGCAGGAGAATCACTTGAACCCAGGAGGCAGAGGTGGCAGTGAGCCCAAATTGCACCACTGCACTCCAGCCTGGGCAACAAGAGCAAAGCCCAGGAAAAAAAAGAAATTTTGCTTGCTTTGGCAGCACATATGCTTAAAAAAAAGAAAGAAAGAAATCAAGGAAAGGGCCAGATGTGGTGGCTCATGCCTGTAATCCCAGCACTTTGGGAGGCCAAGGTGAGTGTATCGCTTGATGTTAGGAGTTCAAGACCAGCCTGGCCAACATTCCAAAACACCATCTTTACGAAAAACACAAAAATTAGCTGGGCGTGGTGGCAGATGCCTGTAGTCGCAGAGGCTGAGGCAGGAGAATCACTTGAACCCGGGAGGTAGGGGTTGTATTGAGCTGAGATCATTCTACTGCACTCTGGCCTGGGCACAGAGCGAGACTATCCCCACACAAAGAAAAAGAGAATTTACTTCTCAATTTCCAGATTGTATTTATATAGACTATGTAGTTATATTGATAGATGTTTTCTCTGTAATTAGTAATTAGTTACAATGATAGGTGAATGTCAACAACTGTTATTTTAATTTTGACAAGTATTTCTTTAAAATTTGCTATCAAGTCTTTGATTGATAGAAAAAGAAATTATACATGGGAAGCCCAAAGCTGCAGATGATATTAGGCCCTCCTCTGCACTGGGTCCAGGAATACCCAGCTAACTCACTGAGTGAGTTACGAACATTGTTGATCACTTTGTCATCAACTGGTCATCTCCAGGCAGCCATTTTTGTTTTATTTATTATTATTATTTTGCTGTTATGAAGTCTCTGGTTCACTGATGTTGGTGAGATTGGCCCAAGTCCCCTAAAGGAGTGGAAAATAATATTTAAAATATGTGTGTGGCTCTGTTAGACAGTTTGAGTTGCACAAAATGACCAAATAGGACCTTTTAATTTCCTTCCCATTTTACTTACTATTAATTTCCTTCCCATGTTACTTAAGAAATAAAGAAGGCCAGGTGCAGTGGCCCACACCTGTAATCCCAGCACTTTGGGAGGCCAAGATAGGCGGATCACTTGAGGTCAGGAGTTTGAGACCAGCCTGGCCGACATGGTGAAACCCTGTCTCTACTAAAAATAGGAAAATTAGCCAGATGTGGTGGCACATACCTGTAATCCCAGCTATTTGGGAGGCTGAGGCATGAGAATCACTTGAACTCAGGAGATGGACGTTGCAGTGAGTGAGCCGAGATTGCACCACTGCTCTCCAGCCTGGGTGTCAGAGTGAGACTCTGTCTCAGGGGAAAAAAAGAAATCAAGAAAAGGAAAACATTTCACATATACCCCAGCATACGCACTGTCTTCGTTATTCCCTGTTCATTTCTGGTTGTAGTTTCTTTTCTGTTTGTTTATTACATAGTTGTATTACAGAATGAGTTTTTTCCCTAAATAAAATACTTAATGGTAGCATAATAGTCCTTGTAATTTGATGTTCCATAATTTCACTTTGTAAATTGTGCTTTTTTTCTCTTTGACAGTATAACACTGCCTTTAAATTCAGATGTCCCCAAGGTATTTGCAGCATTGCCTGAGTTTTATGTAGAAGATGTTGCAGAATTTTTATTTTTTATTGTACAGTAAGTGCCTTTAATATTTTACATAGTTCTAATATGTTTTTATGCATAATATGTACACGATATTCTGAGCTATGTTGCAAACCTCCATTTCGTGCCTGAAATTTTATGTAACTGTTTTAACTGAATGCTGCCTAGAGACTGGAAAAAATAAATCTAATGGTGGCATCAGTCCAATTCCAACAATATCTCAAAGACAGAGGCAGGATTAACAGTGCAGATAATGTGTTCTGTGAAAATTGAGTTGAATTTCTAATAGTTGAATATATGTCTCTGAGCAACAGAAGGAGCAAACAGTTTATAAATAGCTGAACGAACATCCCAAACCCAAAAATATCCACATCTATATTTTGTACTAAAATTTGTCTCAATTTTGTAAAATTGGAGAATGCTTACAACTGATATTGTAGGTTTTTTTTTTTTTTTTTGAGGCAGAGTCTTGCTCTGTCGCCCAGGCTGGAGTGCAGTGGTGTAATCTTGGCTCACTGCAACCTCCGCCTCCCGGTTCAAGTGATCTCCTGCCTCAGCCTCCCAAGTAGCTGGGATTACAAGCACCTGCCACCACGCCTGACTAATTTTTTTGTTTTTTGTTTTTTTTTAAGTAGAGACAGGGTTTTGCCATGTTGGGGAGGCTGGTCTCAAACTCCTGACCTCAGGTAATCTGCCCTCCTTGGCCTCCCAAAGTGCTGGAATTACAGGCGTGAGCCACCGCGCCCAGCCTATTGTAGGGTTTTATTTTCTTTTTTTCCAAATCCTTATTTGGTTTATTAAATTCACATTTTATTTCTAAAACATTACAGGTTAGAAGAATTACAGTTTCAATCCCTTGGCATCATGATAGCACATATGGCTAGCTGAGGGAGTGGTATATGAAGTGTATTGTGAAAAGTAAAAGTCGTGCTGGGCACTATGGCACATGCTTGTAGTCTCAGACATGCGGGAGGATTGCTTGAGCTAGTTCAAGACCAGCCTGGATGATGTAGCAAGTTTGCATCTCTTTAAAAAAAAATGAATAAAGTCAAGTGTGGTGGCTCACACCCGTAATCCCAGCACTTTGGGAGGCTGAGGCCGGCGAATCACAAAGTCAGGAGTTCGAGACCAGCCTGGCCAACTTGGTGAAACCCCATCTCTACTAAAAATATTAAAATGAGCCAGGTGTGGTGTTGCATGCGTGTAATCACAGCTACTTGGGAGGATGAGGCAGAAGAATCCCTTGAACTCTGAGGCAAAGATTGCAGCGAGCTAAGATCACACCATTGCACTCCAGCCTGGGTGACAGAGCGAGACTCCATCTCAAAAAGATAAATAAATAAATAAATAAAATAAAAATAGTATAGGTTCCCAGTCACAAAATACAAATTGTGAAAGTTTTTTAACACACAATGCAAAAGAACAAAATTAGTGTAAATGACTCTAAAATAAGAGCCAAAACTAACTGGAGCAAGTTGTATTCCTGTCATAAAAGCTGCCTTAAAAAAAAAAAAAGCCCAAATCGAGGCAGAGGTTCCAGTGAGCCGAGATCACACCACTGCACTCCAGCCTGGGCAACAGAGCAAGACTCCATCTGAAAAAAAAAAAAGATAATCCCAACTCATTGGTGACGTGATTTTGATTGGTACAAAATTTAAAAAGTGACTAAAAAGCATGGTTTATTTGTTGAAAAACCAACCTTAGGCCGGGCGCGGTGACTGACGCCTGTAATCACAGCACTTTGGGAGGCCGAGGTGGGCAGATCACGAGGTCAAGAGATCGAGACCATCCTGGCGAACATGGGAAACCCTGTCTCTACTAAAAATACAAAAATTAGGTGGGCATGGTGGCGCACACCTGTAATTCCAGCTACTTGGGAGGCTGAGGCAGGAGAATTGCTTGAACCCGGGAGGCGGAGGTTGCAGTAAGCCAAGATTGTGCCACTGCACTCCAGCCTGGCGCCTGGCGACAGAGCAAGACTGTCTCAAAAAAAAGAAAAAACAACCTTGGAATTTAAGCAATTCAAGTCACATTTAAAATCTGTTCTGTGTACACTAATACAAAAAACACCTATTTGAAAATTTTCATTTATTCTCCTTTTCAGCAGAGATTTTAAAAAATAACTCTATCCAAAAAATTTGGTATGACTTTTTGGTAGTAATGATCTTTTGTGAAGTTTGTCTGATTTAATCACAGCTTTTGTTTATAGTTAATGTAACATGCTATAGCCAGTAACCATGTTTTGTTTGAAATCTGTGTCATTACAGTGTAAATAGTCACTGTAGGCCGGGCACGGTGGCTCAAGCCTGTAATCCTAGCACTTTGGGAGGCTGAGGCGGGTGGATCACAAGGTCAACAGATCAAGACCATCCTGGTCAACATGGTGAAACCCTGTCTCTACTAAAAATACAAAAAAAAATTAGCTGGGCATGGTGGCGCGTGCCTGTAATCCCAGCTACTCGGGAGGCTGAGGCAGGAGAATTGCCTGAACCCAGGAGGTGGTGGTTGTAGTGAGCCGAGATCATGCCATTGCACTCCAGCCTGGGTGAAAAGAGCGAAACTCCATCTCAAAAAATAAATAAATAAATAAAAATAGTCACTGTAAACTGAGCGAGTTCAAGGACACTCCTAAACCTATTTATCCTGCCTTCCCCTCCTCACTTACTGACACCAGCCTTCACCAAGGTGAGTTTCTCAGCAGTTTCTCACGGTCTCTTTCTTGCTCTCGTTGCCTCTCTTCAGATACTCTCCCCAGGCGCTTTATGAGCCCTGCACTCAGGATATCGTGATGTTCCTTGTCGTGATGTTGTGCAACCAGAACTACATCCGAAACCCGTATTTGGTGGCCAAACTTGTAGAAGTCATGTTTATGACCAACCCTGCTGTTCAGCCACGAACCCAGAAGTTTTTTGAAATGATTGAGAACCATCCTCTCTCTACCAAGTTGTTGGTACCTTCCCTGATGAAGTTTTATACAGGTAGGTTGCTGGGACACAGTGTAGCACATGGCAGGCCAACTTAGGCAAGGTCTTCTAAAGTCAGTGTCTGGTGTTGCTCTCAGCCTGTTACCTAATATCCTGACGTGTATAACCTACTAACCTACAGCCTGCAGAGTTGTTCTTCCCCTGAGGAGTTGGGAGTAGGACAACCATTCCACATACTGGTCTCTGATGATTCAGCAGGATCCATTTCACCGAGACCCAGTTGATTAGCGCCGAGACTCAGTTGGTATCAACCACACAAGTTCGTGGTGTTATCTGAGTGGAATTATCTGGCTCATTTTACCTTTGAACTTAAAGCATTTGTTTTCTAACATTGCAGTTTCCAAAGTGTGGGTATAAGAGGGAGCTTGTTAAAAATGCATATTCTTGGGCCAGGTGCAGTGGCTGACACCTGTAATCCCAGCACTTTGGGAAGCTGAGGCAGTAGATCACAAGGTCAGGAGTTTGAGACCAGCCTGGCCAACATGGAGACACCCTGTCTCTACTAACAATACAAAAAAAAAAAAAAATTAGCCAGGTGTGGTGACAGACACCTGTAGTCCCAACTACTTGGGAGGCTGAGGCAGGAGAATCGCTTAAATACAGGAGGCGGCAGTTGCAGTGAGTGGAGATGGTGCCACTGTACTCCAACCATGGACAACAGAATGAAACTCTGCCTCAAAAATAAAAAATGGCTGGGCATGGTGGCGCATGTCTGTAATCCCAGCTACTCAGGAGGCTGTGGCAGGAGAATCACTTGAACCCAGGAGGCAGAGGTTGTGGTGAGCTGAGATCTCGCCATTGCACTCCAGCCTGGGCAACAAGAGCAAAACTCCCCCCGACCTCCAGAAAAAAAACGTATGTTCTTGGACCCCACTTAAACCAATGGAATCAGGATTTCTGGGGGGATCTTAGGAGCATTCATTTGTTCAGGATTTCTGGGGGGATCTTAGGAGCATTCATTTGTTCAGGATTTCTGGGGGGATCTTAAGAGCATTCATTTGTTCAGGATTTCTGGGGAGATCTTAGGAGCATTCATTTGTTTAGGATTTCTGGGGAGATCTTAGGAGCATTCATTTGTTCAGGATTTCTGGGGGGATCTTAGGAGCATTCATTTGTTCAGGATTTCTGGGGGGATCTTAGGAGCATTTATTTGTTCAGGATTTCTGGGGGGATCTTAGGAGCATTCATTTGTTCAGGATTTCTGAGGGGATCTTAGGAGCATTCATTTGTTCAGGATTTCTGGGGGGATCTTAGGAGCATTCATTTGTTCAGGATTTCTGGGGGGATCTTAGGAGCATTCATTTGTTCAGGATTTCTGGGGGGAATCTTAGGAGCATTCATTTGTTCAGGATTTCTGGGAGAATCTTAGGAGCATTCATTTGTTTAGGATTTCTGGGGGGAATCTTAGGAGCATTCATTTGTTCAGGATTTCTGGGGGGATCTTAGGAGCATTCATTTGGTCATCACATATTTATTGAGCATCTTGAGCATCTACTATTTGCCAGGCACTATTCTAAGAGCTGAATTACACTGTTGAAAAAGATAGCATGTGAGACACTCTGAAAGGAAGTCTTCCCTCTGTTTAATTATATTCCAATTTTTTTTTTTTAAGACAGAGTCTTGGTCTGTCACAGGCTGGAGTGCAGTGGAACGATCTTGGCTTACTGCTACCTCTGACTCCCCGATTCAAGCTATTCTACTGCCTAAGCCTCCCACATAGCTGAGATTACAGGCATGCATTACCATGCCCAGCTAATTTTTGTATTTTTACTAGAGACAGCGTTTCGCCATGTTGGACAGGATGGTCTCAATCTTCTGACCTTGTGATCCATCACCTCGACCTCCCAAAGTGCTGGGATTACAGGCGTGAGCCACTGTACCTGGCTTTTTTTTCTTTCTTTCTTTCTTTTAAGACAGAGTCTGGCTCTGTCACACAGGCTAGAGTGCAGTGGCATGATCTCAGCTCACTGCAACTTCTGCCTCCCGGGTTCAAGCCATTCTCGGGCCTCAGCCCCCCAAGAAGCTGGGATCACAGGCATGTGCCACCACACCCAGCTAATTTATTGTTATTTTAGTAGAGATGGAGTTTTGCCATGTTGGCCAGGCCGGTCTCAAAATCGTGGCTCTAAGCCATCTGCCTGCCTCGGCCTCCCAAAGTGCTGGGATTACAGGCGTGAGCCACTGCACCTGGCCTGTCACTATTTTTTTGAGACATCTAAAGAGTTTCTCTTCCTTGGCCTAGTCATAGCCTCTTAAATCTAAAGCAAGTACACAAACTTTGTTATTGTCCTTACTTTGGCAACAGCAGGAAATGCTCCTGGCTAAAAGGCACCTTCTTAGCTAACAGGCACCTTTTTGCGTAAAAGTTCTTCTCTTTTTTTTTTTTTGAGATGGAGTCTCACTTCATCTCCCAGACTGGAGTGCAGTGGTGCTATCTTGTCTCACTGCAACCTCTGCCTCCCAGGTTCAAGCTATTCTGCCTCAGCCTCCCAAGTAGCTGGGACTGTAGGCACCAACCACCATGCCTGGCTAATTTTTTTATCTTTTGTATTTTTAGTAAAGATGGAGTTTCACCATGTTGAGCAGGATAGTCTTGATCTCCTAACCTCGTGATTCACTTGCCTCGGCCTCCAAAAGTGCTGGGATTACAGGCAGGAGCCACTGCACCTGGCCAAAATTTTTTCTGTTTAATCTCTTAGCCCTAGCCCTAGCCCTAGTTGGGGACAAGTGCCGGCCACTCGGATACATACGGTGCATTATGTATGTATAGAATAGGATCTTGTATGGTGGCTTGCATGCAGCAGGCTTGGTGGAACTGAAGATAATTCAGCATTCTTAGGATGATCATAAGATACCACTTTTCTGGCCGGGTGTGGTGGCACACACCTGTAATCCCAGCACTTTGGGAGGCCGAGGCAGTGGATTGCCTGAGATCAGGAATTCAAGACCTGCCAACATGGTGAAACCCTGTCTCTACTAAAAATATAAAAATTAGCCAGGCGTGGCATACGCCTGTGATCCCAGCTCGTCAGGAGGCTGAGACAGAAGAATCACTTGAACCTGAGAGGCAGAGGTTGCAGTGAGCTGAGATCATGTTGGGCAACAGACTCTGTCTCAAAAAAAACACTAGGGAAGGACATATACCAAAATATTAAGTGTGTTGGTTATATTTAAATGGTAGAATTATAGGTTTTTATTTTTTTATTTTATTATCTGAACTTCTGAATTTTTCTACAGTAAACCTGTTATTAGTAATAAAAGGAAAACAATTTTAGTTAAATATATTTTGTAGTCAGTGTTCTGAGCCTGTCACTGTGACTTCAGGATAAAGTGTGTGTGTGTGTGTGTGTGTGTGTGTGTGTGTGTGTGTGTGTGTGTGTGCGTGCGCGCGCACGCGCACATGCACAACATAACTGGACCTATTCCCTATGAGACCAGTGCTGGGCCTAATGGAGGCCTGCTGGGAATGTTCCAGAAGGTGATGGGTGGGGGTTGTGCTCTCCTTCCTCTTTGTCATGTGTGCCCTCTGGCCTGGACCACCTCTGTAGTCATAGATGATGGCATCTGCACTAATAATAGCCACCATTCATTGAATGTTTACTAAGCCTTTCACTTAATCCCCACAGCAGTCCTAGAGGTAGTACTATAGATACCTCCACTTTACAAATGAGAAAACTGAAGCTTAAAGGGGCCAAGAAGCTTGCTGAAGGTCAGTGGCTAGTGAGTGGCGGCAACCTGAGCAGACAGCCTTTAGCACAGGTGCCCCTGACTACTGTGCTGGTCTTCCAGTGGTTACCAAGGGGCTGGTGTGAGGGTACCCCAGAGGGAGGCATCGCAGACATACTCCTGTGTTCATTGTCTCCATGTGAGGACCTGCTGATTAGCTCCTAGTCCCTGAGCAGATGGGACTCAGATATAAATTAGAGTTGCCACACACAAGATCAGTATGTGGATCGATCTCCTCTTACACTACAGAGATGGTATTCTAGCTTAGAAAATGCTCAAATTGACCAGGTTCCATGGCTCACACCTGTAATCCCAGCACTTTGGGAGGCCCAGGTGGGCGGATCACAAGGTCAGGAGATCAAGAACATCCTGGCCAACATGATAAAACCCCGTCTCTACTAAAAATACAAAAATTAGCTGGGTGTGGTGGCTAAGATCATGCCACTACACTCCGGCCTTGGCAACAGAGTGAGAATTCATCTCAAAAAATGATAATAAAAGTAAGTTAGCTGGATGTGGTGGTCCACACCTGTAGTCCTCCCTCCCCAGGAGGCTACTTGAGCCTTGGAGTTTGAGGCTACAGTGAGCCATGATTGCCACTGACTCCAGCCTGGGCAACAGAGTGAGGCTGTCTTAAACAGAAAGAGAGGACAGGGGAAGAGAGAGAGTGCTCTGTAATTACACTTTAGGATGCCAAGGCGGGTGGATCACCTGAGGCCAGGAATTCAAGACCAGGCTGGCCAACGTGGCGAAACCCCATCTCTATGAAAAATATAAAAATTAGCCAGGTGTGATGGTACATGCCTGTAATCCCAGCTACTTCGGAGGCTGAAGCAGGAGAATCGCTTGAACCCAGGAGGCAGATGTTGCAGTGAGCTTTGATGGCACCACTGCTGTCCAGCCTGGGTAACAGAGAGTATCTGTCTCAAAAAAAAAAGAATCAATTAAGTTGTCCAGGGGCAATAGCCCACTCCTGTAATTCCAACACTTTGGGAGGCCAAGATGGGCCTATCACTTGAGCTCAGGAAATTTTGCCCAACCTGGCTAACATGGTGAGACCTCATTTCTACTAAAAAAGTAAAAATCAGCCAGGCATGGTGGCATGCACCTGTCCCAGCTACTTGGGAGGCTGAGATAGGGGGATTGCTGGAGCCCAGGAGGTGGAGGTTGCAATGAACTGAGATTGTGCCACTGCCCTGCAGCCTGGGCAATAGCAAGATGCAATCTCAGAAAATAAAAAGTACAAAAATCAATTAAGTTTCAAAATAAGAGTATTTTGTTTTTGTGATTTTTTTTTTTTTTACATCAGTCAGTTCCTTAAGGAACAGCTCTCAGAACTAGAAGGATACTGATAATCAAGATTTACTTAAGGATTATTCTCAGCCAGGTGCAGTGGCCCACGCCTGTAATCCCAGGCAGGCGGATACTGTAGGTCAGGAGATCGAGACCAGCCTGACCAACATGGAAAAACTCCATAACTACTTAAAAAAATACAAAATTCCCCAGGCGTTGTGGCACATGCCTGAGACAGGAGACTCCCCTGAACCCTGTAGACAGAGGTTGCAGTGAGCCGAGATTTTGCCATTGCACTGCAGCCTGAGCAACAAGAGCGAAACTCCGTCTCAAAAAAAAAAAAAAAATTATTCTCTTCCCCAAAACTGATTTGAATCAGCAAGGCAAAGTAGATTTGATCTCTAATTCAGCAAATAATGGGCGAAGATGTCAAAATCTTTGCCATCATATGTCAAACATTCCAATTGGGAGACAGGTTCTACAAATAGATGTTGTGGTCAGGGCAGTGGCTCATGCCTGTAATCCCAGCACTTTAGAAGGCTGAGACAGGAGGATCGCTTGAGCCCAGGAGATTGAGAGTGCAGTGAGCCATCTTTGAGCCATTGCATTCCAACCTGGGTGACAGAGTAAGACCCTGTCTCAGGAAAAAAGAGAGATTTTGAGAATGAGTGTGGGAAGGAGGCATAGGACACCTTTCAGAAGGATGGTCAGGGAAGGTCTCAGAGGAAAGGACTTTGGAGTGATGTTGAAAATATGACAACCATGAGCCATAAGAAGGTCTCAGCCATAGTGTGGCAGTATGTGGGGCAGTAAGTATAAATACCTTGAGGCCTGGGCAGCAGATGAATCAAGAAAGAAGGCAGCAGGAACCCTGGGGAGGAGGGAGAGGTTCAGCGCAAGTCCAGGCCACTTAAGGCCTTCTAGAACCAGGACCTGGGAATTAGAACTTGAGCTGGTATGATTTCGAGGTAACAGTAGAAGTGAATAATAATTTTTTAAAATGTTGAGAGATGTATATTGTTTGTTTCATTTTCTTTTTTTCTTTTTTTTTTTTTTTTTTTGAGGTAGAATCTTGCTCTGCAGGCTAGAATACAGTGGCACAATTACAACTCCAGACACCCTTGACCTCCTGGGTTCAAGTGATCCTCCTGTCTCAGCCTCCCACGTAGCTGGGACTACAGGCGTATGCCACCACAGCCGGCTAATTTTTGTGGCTTTTATAAAGATGGGGTTTCACTGTGTTCACCAGGCTGGTCCCAGACTCCTGAGCTCAAGTGATCTGCCCGCTTGGGCCTCCCAAAGTGCTGGGAATACAGATGCAGGGCCCCGCTGAGATACATACTGTTACATAAATTAATACTATTAACTTAGTCTCTATTTAGAATTTGGGGCAGATACCAGGGGCTATTTTAGATTGTATGAGGTATTGGGTTGGTTCTCCAGTATCTTCCTCCTGAAAGTTTGGCTTCATCAGCACTCCACACTTTAGCTCATGCATTTATACACTTAATAAATGACATTTAGTTCATCCTAAAGAAAGGTTGACTTAATGAATACACATAAGTGCATTCAGATCTTAGTATGATAGGTGTTAATTATCCTATTCTTTCATTTTTAAATAACTGTTTTCTTTTTTGGTCACATGCACAAAAATGTGTTCTTTGGAAAATATAGAAAATATCAAAGGCCAGGTGTAGTGGCTCACACCTGTAATCTCAGTACTTTGGAGGGCCGAGGTGGGAGGCTCACTTGAGGCCAGGAATTTGAAACCAGCCTGGGCAACATAGTGAGACTCCATCTGTAAAATATATATATATATATATTTTGAGACAGAGTCTTGCTCTGTCACCCACCTAGGCTGGAGTGCAGTGACCTGATCTTGGCTCACTGCAACCTCTGCATCTGAGTTCAAGTGATTCGTCTGCCTCAGCCTCCCAAGTAGCTGGAATTATGGGCACACACCACCACACCCAGCTAGTTTTTGTATTTTTTATTAATAGTAGAGATAGGGTTTTGCTGTGTCGGCCAGACTGGTTTTCAACTCCTGGCCTCAAGTGATCTGCCTGTCTTGGCCTCCCAAAGTGCTAGGATTACAGGTGTGAGCCAGCCATAAAAAATAAGCCAGGCGTGGTGGATGCATCTCTAGTCCCAGCTACTTGGGAGGCTGAGGTGGGAGGATCACTTGAGCCCGAGAGGTTGAGGCTGCAGTGAGCCATTATCACACCACCGCACTTCAGCTTGGGTGACATTGCAAGACCCTGTCTCCAAAACAATAAAATAAAACAAGTAAGGCCAGGCATGGTGGTTCACACCTGTAATCCCAGCACTTTGGGAGGCCAAGGTGGGCATTTCACAAGGTCAGGAGATCAAGACTATCCTGGCTAATGCAGTGAAACTCCATCTCTACTAAAAATACAAAAAATTAGCTGGGCATGGTGGCACTATAATCCCAGCTACTTCAGAGGCTGAGGCAGGAGAATCGCCTGAACCTGGGAGGCAGAGGTTGCAGTGAGCTGAGATTACTCCACTGCACTCCTGGGTGACAGAGCAAGACTCTGTATCAAAAAAATAAAATAAAATAAATAAAGTAAAATTTGTCATGAATTCTGAAATTTCTCTTGCCTGAGCTTTTGCCATTTGGACAAACCAGTTTGATTTTTTTTCCCTCTTTATAGGTATAGGGGTGATAGACACATTGTTTTTTTTCCAACACCAAAAATGGTCACTAGGATAGGCACATTTAATAGGTATGTGATCCTCAATAAAATTAAACCTGATTTTTTTATCTGGTGAAGGATGTCCATTTGAGGTGCCATAGAATTTCTGTAAATTAATAACTTAAAATTGGGGAAGGAGTATGATAATTCAGCTTTTGGTCACTGGTAAGTGGATGCTGTCCTAATGATGTGAGTTTTCCTAGCCCTGATCCTTTCCATGTTGTCTCATTGTCAAATCTTTATTGTGAAACTTTTGTCTTTAAAAGCAGCTCATAATTTCTGTCCTGCCTTACATGCAAGAGAGGTGCAAAATTTCAGCAGCTCTCTGATTTTGCAGATTTACGTTCACTCGCTCTCATCGTTGGGGCAATAACTGGATTTGGAAAGTAAGAAAGTACATACCCCTCAGTCCCTTTGTCTTTCTTCAGATGTTGAGCATACCGGAGCCACCAGCGAGTTTTATGACAAGTTCACCATTCGCTATCACATCAGCACCATTTTTAAAAGCCTTTGGCAAAACATAGCTCACCATGGCACCTTTATGGAGGAGTTCAAGTGAGTATGGGGCCCCTAATGTCACAACTTGCTTTCTTCCAAATCACAGGTAGGATTGCAGCTTAAAAGCTTTCACCCCTGGGTTCTTGTTGACTGTTTTCTTGGTCTCAGACTCCTTTGAGTTTACCGCAAGGTGCCACTAAATGTGGGCAGGAGTTTTTAAATGGCTTTACTTGCAAGATACTGCTGAACTTTAGATTTGTCAAGATACTTTGGGGGTGGTACAGAAGAAAAGATGCTATAGGGCGGGGCGTGGTGGCTCATGCCTGCACTAATCCCAGCACTTCGAGAGGCCAAGGTGGGGGGATCACTTGAGGTTAGGAGTACAAGATCAGCCTGGCCAACATGGTAAAACTCCATCTCTACTAAAAATACAAAACGTAAGCCAAGTGTGATGGCTCACGCCTGTTATCCCCGCTACTTGGGAAGCTGAGGCAGGAGAACTGCTTGAACGCAGGAGGCAGAGGTTGCAATGAGCCAAGATTGCACCACTGCACTCCAGCCTGGGCGACAGAGCGAGACTCTGTCTCAAAAAAAAAAAAGGAAGAGAAAAGAGTCTATAATATGCTGAGATGATGGGCTAAGTGAATTTTTGTGTTTCTGTGATTACAGTGTTAAATGAAGGTGCCAGAATGAGTGAAACAAAATCTTAGTGTTCTTGAATGTTGGAAGGACTTTAGATTTTACAACAATGAGGTCAGGGTTATCATTTAAAGTGTCATTCTTTGTGGTAAGGCCCTAAACCTTAATTAAAGACTTTACACATACCTACCAGAAATCTGAGTGACTGTTAAACCTGGGCAGTAGTAATCCCTTCTCAATTATCTGTCCGTACCTGAAAACGAAAGGTAGATGAAGATGCTGAACTCTTAAATTACACTTCAAAAATTGTATCCCATGCTCACTTTGGCAGCACATATACTAAGATTGGAACAATACAGAGAAGATTAGCATGGTCCCTGCGCAAGGATGACACCCAAATTCGTGAAGCGTTCCATATAAAATTAAAAAATAAAATTTTATCCCATCTACTTGGATCTTTTGCAACCCATGTTAGATCTTTGATCAAATCCAGCTATACTTGTTAACTGACTTACTAGTCAATAATGTACATTGCCAGTGGAATAACTATTTGCTAGATAGATTTCTGTGGAGTAAACTTCTTTTTTCTCACTCTGTCGCCCAGGCTGAGGTGCAGTGGCATCTTCTTGGCTCTTTGTAACCTCTGCCGCCTGGGTTCAAGCATTTCTCCTGCCTCAGCCTCCTAAGTAGTTGTGATTACAGGTGCCTGCACCATGCCCAGCTAATTTTTGTAGTCTTTAGTAGAGACAGGGTTTTACCATCTTGGCCAGGCTGGTCTTGAACTCCTGACCTTGTGATCCACCTGCCTCGACCTCTCAAAGTGCTGGGATTACAGGCATGAGCCACCGTGTCCGACCTAAATAAACTCTTTAATTTTTTTTGTTTGTTTGTTTCTGTAAACTGCTGTCATGGTCAGAACTGTGTTCCAATTAAAGCCTGACACAGGCTTAGGACACCAGGCTGACCCATGGCTTGGTCTGAATGGTGCTGATGAGAGCGCTTGTCCTGAACCTGCCATGTTCCTGAGATCAAGGTCTCCTGTCCTTGTTCACGGGAACTTCTCTTCCCCAGGCATGGGTTTGCCACCCCCAGTGACATGGTTGTAGACCCTGAAGTGTAGCTTCTCTCTTCTCTACAGTCTGGCAGCTCCAGGCCAAGCTATTTGAGTTCACCAAGTTCTCTCACTGTAACACGACCTGCAGAGTAGTTCCTTAGATTGGAAGATGCAGGTTCTAAAGTTAGTTAATAGCCCACTTTATCAATATTAGAGGTTCCAATTTTTCTTCAGTGTGTCTGTCTTTGTGATAAGGAATAACTTTGTCACCAGTTTTCTTATCTTATATATGATTAATTACTTGTGTTTTCTTGGTATATTGGTGAGTATATGCGTATTTCCTGTTCTAGTCTGGAAGAAGTGTTTTCTCTCCTTAAAAACATTGAGGGAGTGAGCCAGGGGTGTGCTGGTAAGCCTGCTTTGGGAAGGGGGGTGGGGGAGTCAGCATTTGCTGGTTTTCCATGGTGTGACTCTTTCCTCTGTTGCCCAATTTAAGGTGCCAGGGGCATCTGCTTATAAAATTCTGAAATTTTTAGCACTTGACTCTCATAAACCATGCAAGGGGGCACCAAAACACCACAGAAATGAGCTTATCACAAACAATTTAAAAGAATAACAAAATCTAGGCCAGGTGTGGTAGCTCATGACTGTAATCCCAACACTTTGGGAGGCTGAGGTGGGAGGAGCGCTTGAGCCCAGGAATTTGAGACCATCCCTGGCAACGTAAGTGCCTGTCTCTACAAATACAGAAGTTAGCCGGGCGTGGTGGCATGTGCCTGTAGTTCCAGCTACTAGGAGGCTGAGGCAGGAAGGCTGCTTGAGCCCTGGAGATTCAGGATACAGTGAGCTATGACTGCACTGCACTCCAGGCTGGGCGACAGAGCGAGACCCTGTCTCAAAAAGAAACCAGATTAGGGGAAACGATCCAAGATGGCCGATCGCTAACATCTCGGGATTGCAGCTCTCAGTGGAAGCGCAGAGAACTAGAGGACGCCACACTTTCAGACAAATTCTGGTCGCTCACCGAGCAGAAGAACCCCAGTGGAGGAGTCACACGGGTCGCCAGCGTGACTCTTGTGGCCGGCGCAGCAGCTCTTGGAGCAGAGTAAACAGGGCCGGCTCCCCTTCTGACCGAGGTTTGGAGGACCCACACGGGTCCCCAGCACGACTCCTGAGACCAGCGCAGTGGCTGTGATGGCACTTCGGCGCGGCAGCTCTCGGAGCAGAGTAAACGAGACTGGTTCCCCTTCTGACCAAGGTTTCGAGCCTGGGAAGGCAGAGTCGCCTATTACAGACACAAGAAGGAAGCCAGACAGGAGAATCCTGGGCAGAAAAGCACTATCAGTCTTAACGCCGCTGTTCTGGCCCTGGGAACTAACAACTTGGATGTCCACTCAAGAGACCTAATCTGAAAGTTGGTAATTTCAAAGACAACAGGAGGATAAATTTACAATGATGGGAAGAAACCAGCGTAAAAAGGCTGAGAATACTCAAAATCAGAACGCTTCTCCCTCTAAAGATGATCACAGTTCCACATCAACAATGGAACAATGCTTGATGGAGAACGAGCGCATCCCAATAACAGAATCACGCTTCAGGGAATGGATAATAAGAAACTTCTGTGAGTTAAAAGAACATGTTGTAGCCCAACGTAGTTTTTTCAAACTAAGAACTTTGAAAAAAGGTTTGATGAAATCCTATTGAGAATAGACTAAAAACTTAAAGAGGAATATAAGTGAATTAATGGAACTGAAGAATACAATACAGGAACTCTGAGAAGTATGCACAGGTTTAAACACTCGAATTGTTCAAGCAGAAGAAAGGATATCAGAGGTCGAAGTCCAACTTAATGAAATAAAACACGAAGACAAGATTAGAGAAAAAAAGGATAAAAAGGAATGAGCAAAGTCTCCAAGAAATGTGGGACTATGTGAAAAGACCAAATTTACGTTTGATAGGTGTACCTGAATGTGACGGAGAGAATGAATCCAAACTGGAAAATACCCTTCAGGATATTATTCAGGAAAATTTTCCTAAACTAGCAAAGCAGGTCAATATTTAACCCCAGGTAATACAGAGAACACCACAAAGATATTCCTCAAGAAGAGCAACCCCAAGGCACATAATCTTTAGATTCACCAGGGTTGAAACGAAGGAGAAAATACTAAGGGCAGCCAGAGAGAAAGGTCAGGTTACCCACAAAGGCAAGCCTATCAGACTTACAGCAGATCTCTCAGCAGAAACCCTACAAGCCAGAAGAGAGTGGGGGCCAATATTCAACATCCTCAAAGAACAGAACCTTCAGCCCAGAATTTCATATCCAGCCAAACTAAGCTTCACAACTGAAGGAAAAATAAAATCTTTTATGAACAAGCAAGAACTCAGAGATTTTATTACCACCAGGCCTGCTTTGAAAGAAGCATTACACACAGAAAGAAACAACCAGTATTAGCCTTTCTAAAAATATACCAAAAAGTAAAGAGCACCAGCATAAAGAAGAATTTACACCAACGAATGGATAAAACAGCCAGTCAACATCAAATGGCAGTAACCCTAAATTTAAATTGACTAAATCCCCCAATCAAAAGACACAGACAAAACCCAATGGCATGTTACATCCAGACCTGTTTCACATGCAAGGATACACAAAGACTCAAAACAAAGGGATGGGGAAAGATTTACCAACCAAATGGAGAGCAAAAATAAATAAAAAGCAGAAGTTGCAATTCTCGTATCAGATAAAATAGATTTTAAAGCAACAAAGATAAAAAAAAAAAAGCAACAAAGATATAGTGGTAAAAGGATCAATGCAACAAGAGCTAACGATCCTAACACCCAGATACATAGAGACTTAGATTCAATGAGACAGAAAATTAATAAGGATATCAAGGACTCAAACTCAGATCCGGAACAAGTAGACTTAATAAATATTTATAGAGCTCTTCACTTTAAATACATAAAATACACATTCTAGTCAATATCACATCACACCTGCTCATAGGTTTAAATGAAACATTGGCCATTATTAATACCCATTTTTTTTTTCAGAATAAAGCAATATTTCCGTTCACCCTCCCTCTTTCTCTTCCTCTTTATTCCTCTCCTTTACTCATTTTTTTTCTTTCCTTCTCTCAAAAAAAAGAAAAAGAAAAAAAAAAAAAAAGAAACGAGATTAACAAAATCTAAAGAGAAGCTTGGTAGTCCATGAATTCCACAGTGCCTGACTGGTGCCAGGGGAGGCAGGCTTTTAGGGTGAGATAGTTGCACTCTGGGTGGAGGCTCTTGTCCCCTGGGATTTGCTGTGGCATTTTGCTTCAGGGAGATGTATGACCATGTACAATATAATTGCCTTTCCAGTTCCGGGAAGCAGTTCGTTCGCTACATAAACATGTTGATAAACGACACGACATTTTTGCTCGATGAAAGTCTGGAGTCTCTGAAGCGAATCCATGAGGTGCAGGAAGAGATGAAGAACAAAGAACAGTGGGACCAGTTGCCCCGGGTGAGGACGTGGTCCAGATACTTGGACGGCTTTGCAGGGCTCTGCCTCTGGACATGGGCAGAGCTGCTTTGGGGCTGCATTGTGGGTCTGATGATACGCAATCTGACTTGCTGGGATTTTCCTTCCATAAAATTATATTGCAGGGTTGGAATAGGAAAAATCTGAAGCTAAGAAATGAGTTGAGAAGTCTTTGAAAAGGTACACTGAAAACTTTCTCTGCCTTTTTAATTTTAAAGGGCTCTTTCGGAGAAGAGCTTTTATTGTCTGAATATATTAAGATTCATGAACATAATTAGGAAAGAAATCTCTAGAATTATGTCTGCTGGACATGATTTGTTCTTATGGGCTTCTCTAGGCAACTGTGTGACTCACTCAGGATCCTGGTGGGGTGGGTTTTTTCCTTTCAGTTGATCTTGGTTTTTATATTTGGTGATTAATAGAAAAGAAGCCTGGCTTGCCAGGTTCCAGGGCAAACACGTGCTGTGCCAATGCCAGTGTACTGCTCCTTCCTGATGTGGGTGGCAGCCACTGAGATACTTCCTTGGTTGCTTATGAGGCCCTTGACAGTTGCTGGTGACTTCCTAGATTGGTTTAGGTTTATTGATTCTGTTCCTGGTATTGTCAAACTCAGAACTGATTCCATAATTCTCATGTCAAAGTGGGGAGGACTGCTTTTTCTTCACTGTTTCTTTTTTTGAGACAGCGTTTCACTTGGGTTGCCCAGGCAGGAGTGCAGTGGTGCGATCTCAGTTCACTGCAACCTCCGCTTCTCCATTTCAAGCAACTCTCCTCCCTCAGCCTCCCAAGTAGCTGGGATTATGGGCACGTGCCACCAGGCCCAGCTTATTTTTGTATTTTTAGTAGAGATGGGGTTTCACCATGTTGGCCAGGCTATTCTTGAACTCCTCAGGTTATCTGCCCGCCTTGGCCTCCCAAAGTGCTAGGACTACAGGCATGAACCACCGTGCCCAGCCTTTTTTTCTTCTTTTTCAATTTTAACTTTTATTTTAGATTCAGGGGATGGGGCACATGTACAGGTTTGTTACGTGGGTATATCGTGTGATGCTGAGGTTTTATGATTCAACCTGTCACCCAGAGAGTGAGTATAATACCTAATCAGTAGTTTCTCAACGCCTGCCCCACCTCCCTCCCCTCTGGTGTGGTCCCCAGTGTCTGCTATTCCCATCTCTGTCTATGTGTACCAATGTTTAGTTGCCATTTATACCTGCTTTTCTTTTTATGTATTAAGGTTCTACCCATTCTCTGAGTAAGGTCTTAAATACTCCCTCAGGTTGGTGTTCGCCAATCAGCATAGCTGAAAATTCTCACTTGCTCCTTTCTTATGTAATACCCACTTTATGCCATTCACGGTGTTTGGTGTGCCCAGCTTATATTTTATTTACTTACTTGTTTTATATTATTGTTATTATTAAAAAACAGAGACAGAGTCTCGATCTATTGCCTAGGCTGAAGTTCAGTAGCAGAATCATAGCACACCACAGCCTTAACTTCCTGGGCTCAGCTGATCCTCCTGCCTCAGCCTCCCAAATAGCTGGAACTACAAGCATGCACCACCATGCTTGGCTAATTAATTTTTTTTTTTTTTGGTAGAGATAAGGTCTCACATGCTTGCTTCAGCAGCACACATACTAACATATGATTACCATGGCCCCTGCTCAAGGATGACATGCAAATTCATAAAGCATTCCATCCTTTAAAAATAAATATTAAGGCTGGGTGCAGTGGCTCACGCCTCTACTCCCAGCACTTTGGGAGGCCGAGACGGGTGGATCACAAGGTCAGGAGTTCCAGCCTGGCCAGATTGGTAAAACCCCCTCTGTACTAAAAATAGAAAAAATTGGCCGGGCATGGTGGCAAATTTTTTTCTATTATTTTTTAATTGAAACAGAGTCTTGGCCAGGCATAATGGCTCATGCCTGCAATCTCAGCACTTTGGGAGGCTAAGGCAGGCAGATCACCTAAGGTCAGGAGTTCGAGACCAGCCTGGCCAACATGGTGAAACCCAGTGTCTACTAAAAATACAAAAATTAGCTGGGTGTGGTGGCATGCGCCTGTAATCCCAGCTACTTGGGAGGCCAAGGCAGGAGAATCACTTGAACCTGGGAGGCGGAGGTTGCAGTGAGCTGAGATCATGCCCCTTCATTCCAGCCTGGGCAACAGAGCAAGACTCATCTCAAAACAAAAGAAAAACAGAGTCTTGAGTCTTGCTCTGTCACAGGCTGGAGTGCAATGGCAGATCATAGCTCACTACAGCCTACAGCCTCCTGGCTTCAAGCAGTCCTCCCACCTCATCCTCCCCAAATGCTGGGATTATAGTTGTGAGCCACCGTGGCTGGCCGGCATATATTTTAGATGTTGCAATGCAGGTCTATAGCACATTCTCGTATTCACAGTCAATACAGCCTTTGTTTGTGAGCCAACTGAACAAATACTATTGATTTTTTCTGTGTTAATGGATGAAGAGGGCACAAATAGTTCCTAACAATTGCCATTTCAGAAATTATTTAGCTTTTAAGTCGCTTTCTACCTCCCACTGCCCTGGCTGTTCCTGCTCATCTGCTTGACGTCTAAGCTTGGTGAGCTCCGACACTCAGCCCTCAGGCTTCAGTTTCCTTTCCACTCGTGCTCTCTAGGTTAGTGTTTCTCAACGAGGGCACTAGCTGGAATTTTGAGCCTAGTAGCATTTGGTATTATAATAACTCATGATGAGAAACCATCCCATGTATTGCAGGACATTTAGCATCACTGTTTCCTGCCATTTAATGCCAGGGACGTACCCTCCTACCCCAGCCATCAGGCAGCTAGAAACACTCCCATACATAACCTGTTGCCCCACTGGTGAAAGTCACTGCTTGGTGATCTCATGTATTCCAAGGCTCTAAATACTTGTATTCTGTTTTTTTTTTTTTATGACAGGGTTTCACCATGTTGGTTAGGCTGGTCTTGAACTCCTGACCTCCGGTGATCCGCCTGCCTTGGCCTCCAAAGTGCTTGGATTACAGGCGTGAGCCACCACGCCCGGCCAATACTTGTATTCTTAAGACTACAGGGTGTTTATCCCCAGCTCGGATTTCACCTGACTCCAGATTTCTAGACCAAGTGTTTGTCGAATAGGTGCCTCAAACTCACCTTGTCCAGCGCTGAACCCTTGATGTCCTCATCTGCCTGAGTCTGTGGGCAGACTCAGTAAATAGCACCTTCATTCTACCAGCTGATCGGGCTCAGTGCCTTGGAGTTGTTCTTGATTTCTCTCCCTCTCTCAGCAAATGCCTCTAGGCTCCATCTTAAAATATATCCATTGTCTAACCTCTTCTCACCATCTCCAGACCACTGGTATCCCTTACCTGGATTATTGTAATAGCCCACTGTTGCTTGGTGCCATGGAGCATGCCTGTCATCCCAGCTACTCGGGAGGCTGAGGTGGGAGGATCGCTTGAGCCTAGGAGTTCTGGGCTGTAGCGCACTATGCTGATTGGGTGTCCGCACTAAGATTGGCATCAATATGATGACCTCCTGGGAGCAGGGGACCACAAGGTTACCTAAGGAGGGGTGAACTGGCCCAGGTCAGAGACAGAGCAAGTCAAAACTCCCATGCTGATCAGTAGTGGGACTGCGCCTGTGAATAGCCACTGCACTCCAGCCTGGGCAACATGGCAAGACCTCATCTCTTAAAAAAAAAAAAAAAGAAAAAGAACCCACTGCTTGGTCTTCAACCTCCACTCTTGAGCATGTCCATATCAGAGGTGGTGTTAAATATCTCAGTCTGATCAATATCGCCACTCAGCTCAGCCCTTTTGAGCTTCCCTTCTCACTCAGAGCCAAATCCCATGATGAGTGCGGCCTACAGCATGCAGCAGGATCTGGCCCCTCAATATGTTTCTGCCCTCAGCTTCGAACAATCTCTCCTCCACTCACTCTACCCGAGTCAGACTCACCTCCTGACCCTTCACTGACACGTGAGGGCCTTTGCACCTGCTCTTCCCTCTACCTGGAATGCTCTTCCCCAGATTTTTTCTGACTCCTTCAGATATCCACTTAGTTATCACCCCCTCAGGGAGACCTTCCCTGACCACTCTTTCCAGAATAGCATTCCCTGACCCCTACCCAGCTTCATTTTTCATCATCACTGTCAGATTTACTGTATATCTGTTTGGGTATTTGTTTTATTCTGCAGATCCTCCCTGCGCTCCGTGAGAGTTGGGAGTCTTACTATTTCCAGTGTCCAAAGGCTATAGGAGGGCCTGTTGAGATGCCCAGGCACGCGATTAGGTAGTTCATGCCCAGCTGTTCATTTCCTGGCACTGCCTTTCTTTCATTGGGCTCATTCTTGACCAGGGAGCAGTAGGCAGGCACCTCTATAATCTCCTGCAGAATCTCCACCAAGCACAGACTGGAGCACTTACCCAGAGGGCACTCACCAGCCAGCTTCAACTGTTCCAGCTGTGTTCCCTTCCCTAACAAGAAAAGGCCTCTGCACAGATGTAAGCATTGAGGTCTTTCCTGATGGGTCTTGTGTTTGGTGCATTTCAGAGCCTGCAGTGCTGTACCTGATTGTACCCATGAGTCGAACAGCTCTTATTATCTCTTCCCCAGCCCATGGTAGAGTTGAGGGAGGAGACAGTGCCAGAGGCAAGCATGCTGATGGTTCTGTGGTGTGACAGCCTCACAGTGTGGAAAGACAAAATTCAAAAAGCTTAGTAGTCCACAGGCACTTGTAGAGGCAGAGAGGCTAGGCCTCACTGCTGTAGCACACTGCATCTCATAGTTTTAAAATAATGAAGACTGACTGAGCACAGTGGCGCACACCTGTAATCCCAGCATTTTGGGAAGCATAAGTGTGCAGATTACTTGAGGTCAGGAGTTTGAGACCAGCCTGACCAATATGGTGAAACCCCATCTCTAGGAAAAATACAAAAATTAGGCCAGGTGTGGTGGCTCACACCTGTAATCCCAGTACTTTGGGAGGCCATGGTGAGTGGGAGGTCAGGAGTTCAGGACCAGCCTGGCCAACATGAGGAAACCCTATCTTTACCAAAAATACAAAAATTAGCCAAGCGTGGTGGCATGTAATCCCAGCTACTTGGGAGGCTGAGGCAGGAGAATGGCGTGAACTTGGGAAGTGGAGGTTGCAATGAGCCGAGATTGCAGCACTGCACTCCAGCCTGGGTGACACAGCAAGACCCTGTCTAAAAAAAAAAAGCCAGGTATGGTGGTGCACACCTGTAATCCCAGCTACTTGGGAGGCTGAGACATGAGAATCGCCTGAATCCAGAGGCAGAGGTTAGGGGGCCAAGATCATGCCATTGCATTCTAGCCTGGTGACAGAGCAAGACTCCATCTCAAAAAATAAAATAACAATAACAATGATGATGAAGACTCAGTAAAAGTCACTATTAAGGGAAATCAGCTCCCCTTTCTTAGTACCATCCTGTGTGTCAGGTTCTACGTTCGATGCTCTTACTTCTTCATGCATAGAAGTTGATGGTGACTTCTTTTATTATTGAGGAAACAGAGGCTCATGGGAGTTAAATAAGGCACCAAGGTCACCTGGCTGGAAGTTCTAGCGAGCTCTGATGCTGAAAGGATGAAACTTCAGTTACCTAGGAAATTTGCTGTCGTGGGCAGTTCATTCATTCCCAAACTTGTTGGCTTTATCACACACTTTCCAGTTATGCGCTTGGCGCTTTGCTGAGCTGATGACCAGGACCGAGCCTTACTCGGCATCTGTTCAATGTGTCCTAGGATCAGCAGCAGGCCCGTCAGTCTCAGCTCGCTCAGGACGAGCGCGTGTCCCGCTCTTACCTCGCCCTGGCCACCGAAACCGTGGACATGTTCCACATCCTCACGAAGCAGGTCCAGAAGCCCTTCCTCAGACCGGTGAGTAGAAACCAGGGGCTCTGTTTGGTGGTTTGGACTCCACATTCAGTCTCTCTCACTTAGAACTTCAGCAGTTGTTGAAGTCCTGGAAATTTTACTATTTTCCGATAAGTGAGATTCTGTTACTGATTTTGTTCCTAGTTATTCTCATTTATACAAGGCTCTTGTTAGACTGAAGAGCAGATGTCTGATGTCACCACATAGTCTACAGCCACTTCCAAACGCCTTACTGCACTTTCTGCTTAGACAGGACATTGGATTATCAATATTGAAGTCAGGACATATTTCTACCATTATTGATTCCTATATTTATTTATAGAAAAACATAAAGTAACATCCATTGACAATTGAAGGATATTAAGTAGAATAATTGAGACTGTGTAAGGTCTTTGGCTCTCTTAAATGTAGCTTTGTTACACTCAAGAAGCCAAAGGTTAATGAGAGCCGGCCGTCACAAGGGTTTGTGGTAGATGGCAAATAGTCAGAGTTTGTCCTCAGCCAACAAGCCCTGGTTCCTGTTTCTGAAATTGAAACTGAGCAACATCACTGAAGGCCTCTGCTCTGCTTCAGCTACTCTCACCACAAAGTTGAAGAGTTTTATGTACGGCCAGGACAAGGGTAGTGAGGAAGGCAAGGCAAGGACCTAAGATTCAATAGCCATTTGCCTATGTGGACAAATTTACTTTACAATGGAATGGAATGTTACTGCATATTTCCCCTGATTTTCTGTATTTGCCCTGGCCTCCATTATCTGACTCCCATCATCTCCAGCAGAGACGCTGTTGCCACTCCCTGTTCTGGGTACAACTCTTTTCCCCTCTTTTCAATTTCCATTTCATGTCTCTTCATCAACAGATTTTGGTGTAAGAGCCACGGAACATGAAAGAAAACAGCTCACTGCCCAGACACTCGCCTCCCTTAGACGTTTACAGAGTGGAAGGCCAGATAGTAGTAAAGAGTTGATGAATTCCTCCATAACAACGTCAACACACCCACCTGCTTTGTAGACTTGTTGGAAAGATTAAGCTAAAACACACATAGAAGTACCTGGCGTAAGGTCAGGCACAATGGCTCATGCTTATAATCCCAGTACTTTAGGAGGCCAAGGCCGGTGGATCCCCTGAGGTCAGGAGTTTGAGACCAGCCTGGCCAACATGGTGAAACCGTCTCTACTAAAAATACAAAAATGAGCCAGAAACGATGGTACATATCTGTAATCCCAGCTACTTGAGAGGCTGAGGCAGAGGTCACAGTGAGCCGAGATCACACCACTCCAGCTTGGGTGACAGAGCAAGACTGTGTCTCAAAGAATAATAAATGAATAAATAAATGTATTTTAAGGCCTGCTCAAAGACCTAAGCCATCTGTACACTCTAGCCCTGTTCTTTTGCCCCAGTCTTGTGCTTGTGCCCACTGTGATGTTTTCATTTTCTTTACTACACTATTTATTATCTGGTCTTCACAGACAAAGTGTAAAGACTATTCCATTTTGCATTTTCACCTTTACTGACCAGCTGAGATCTCTCCTACTTAAAAAAGAAAATGACCAACTCTGTCCTATTATTACTCCATTTCACAACTTCTCAACAGTGAAATATAGTACTCTGTGCAAAACCAAATTATTGAAAAGCTAAGCAAATGTTGAATTTGTATAAATCCAGTTATTAGATTTCATGAAAACCTTGTGACTTAAAGGAAAGCTTACATGACTCCCTCTTATGGCCAATGTTTAATGCTCTCTAAGCCACCTTTTCCTGTTTCAGGTTTGCTTAAAGCCACATATGCCCAGCTGCAGTGTGTACTGGGTCATCTTGTGAGATTACTGCACAGATTATTATTATTTTCCAGGTGTTTCGTGACTCTGTCTCACTGGCTAGATGTAAAACTATTTAAGGCATAACTTTTCTTTCCTTGCATTACTTTTTTATTTGTATATGATAAGTACATAAGACTGGCACAGACCGAACTGCCAGGGGCTTTTGACATTTATGGGGAAAAAATTTATGAAATATTGATGGAGGAGCTGACTCAAATATTTTTTTGGCTCAGATGATGGTGAAATTTGTATAATTTTCTCTTTTTTACTTGTTTCTTAATGAATTTGGAGTGATAATTTTTTTTTAATTAAAAGCATGAATTTAAAGAAAAGGTTGGCTTTTTGGGGATTTATAAATACATATTTCATTAGCCTGCAGCATTCCATTAAGTATTAGAATTATCAGATCAGAAATGGGGAGTAAAGTTGGAATATAATGTTGTCTTGTCTTTCTTCAGCTTATGATACACAGCACATGTAAGGATTCTTTGAAGATTAATCCAGCCAATTCCCGTTCCTCCACTGAAATGGGAGTTTTTGGTCCTTTTCACTTGTCTCAACAGCATGAATTGTCCTATTATCCTGTGATTTCCTAGGAACTTGGACCCCGATTGGCTGCAATGCTGAACTTTAATCTTCAGCAACTCTGTGGCCCCAAGTGCCGTGACCTGAAAGTTGAAAACCCTGAGAAATACGGCTTTGAACCAAAGAAGCTGTTGGACCAACTGACGGATATTTACTTGCAGCTAGACTGTGCTCGGTTCGCGAAAGCCATTGCTGACGACCAGGTCGGTGCTCCGTGTCACCGGGAGTCTGGATTTGGGCTGCTGAACTGGGCAATTTAAGTTGGCCTCTCTGTGAGTTTACTGGCAGATTCCGTGCAATTACATATCCACCAGTCCCTGGATTTTCCCTACTTGAAATGAAGGCAAATGATACAAATTGTGGTTCAAGAAGTTTTTAGTAAGTAATTGGAGATAATGACCACAGTGGCCAGGGAACTCCTCTGTTGTAAATGAAGATGAATGGGTCGTTTTCCTTTGAGTGGGAAGAGCAGATTTGGGCTGGGCACAGTGGCTCAGGCCTATAATCCCAACACTCTGGGAGGCCAAGGTGGGAGGATCGCTTGAGGCCAGGCTGCAGTGAGCCATGATTTCACCGCCACACTCTAGCATGGGCGAGAGAATGAGCTTCGGTCTCAATAAATAAATAAGTAGGTCAGGTGCAGTGGCTCACACCTGTAATCCCAGCACTTTGGGAGGCCAAGGCAGGCAGATCACAAGGTCAGGAGTTCAAGACCACCCTGGTCAACGTGATGAAACCCTATCTCTACTAAAGATACAAAAAAAAAACCCTCCCAAGTAGCTGGGATTACACAGGCACGCCGGGCGTGGTGGTGTGCGCCTGTAGTCCCAGCTACTCGGGAGGCTGAGGCAGGAGAATCACTTGAACCTGGGAGGCAGAGGTTGCAGTGAGCCAAGGTGGTGCCATTGCACTCCAGCCTGGGCAACAGGACAAGACTCCATCTCTAAAAACTAAAAATAAATATATTAATTAAAACACAAAAGCTAAGAGCAGATTTGGTGCTCTCCTCGCCAGTTGAATTCTTACTCCTTCTTTCTAAGGGCCTTCTTAACAAAAACATACATTTCCAAAAACAGCCTGATTTCCTCAAGGAATCAGAATCTTCCCCAGTCTCCTGGCTGTTATTTTTGTGGTTGTCCAGGGTGAAAACCTCATGTGGTTTTCTTTACATTCGTCTCTCTCCTTCATTCCATGTGTCTCCTGTGAGCAGATCTGTCTGTGTTGCTTCATTTCCACAGCCACCAATTTAGGCTAAGCTGTCCCTTTGTGATCTTCTAGTAATCCTAGAAAGGGCTGGCCCCACTCCATGGTCTGTTCTGCCTCGTTTACAACGTTCTGACAGCTGTTCATTAACTATATACCGCATTTCACCCAATTTTCATATCTCCACCCATTTAGTCCTCACAAAATCCTGTGATGTAGGTTCTATTAAATTTGTTGTTTTGCTGGGCATGATGGCTCACACTTGTAATCCCAGCACTTTGGGAGGCCAAGGTGGGTGGATCACAAGGTCAGGAGATCAATACCATCCTGGCTAACACAGTGAAACCCCGTCTCTACTAAAAATACAATAAAAAATTAGCCGGGTATGGTGGTGTACGCCTGTAGTCCCAGCTACTCAGAAGGCTGAGGCAGGAGAATCGCTTGAACCTGGGAGGTGGAGGTTGTGGTGAGCCAAGATCACGTCACTGCACTCCAGCCTGGGCGACAGAGCCAGACTCCATCTCAAAAAAAGTTTTTGTTTTAAAGTGAGGAAAGGGGCACAGAGAGGTTAAATAGCTTGCTTGAGGTCACAGAGTTGGTGTGGGACAAAGGCAAGATTGATGTCTGGGCAGCCTGGCCCTAAGCACATATTCTCAGTCTCTTTGCTGTTCACTTAAAATGCTCACAAAGAGCTGGGCACGGTGGTTCACGCCTGTAATCCCAGCACTTTGGGAGGCTGAGACAGGTGGTCACGAGGTCAGGGGTTCAAGACCAGCCTGACCAGCATGGTAAAATGCCATATCTACTTAAACAAAAATTAAGGCCAGGCACGGTGGCTCACACCTGTAATCCCAGCACTTTGGGAGACCGAGGCAGGTGGATCACGAGGTCAAGAGATCCAGACCATCCTGGCTAACATAGTGAAACCCTGTCTCTACTAAAATACAAAAAAAATTATCTGGGCATGTTGGTGCGTACCTGTAGTCTCAGCTACTTCGGAGGCTGAGGCAGGAGAATTGCTTGAACTCAGGAGGCAGAGGTTGCAATGAGCCAAGATTCTACCACTGCACTCCAACCTGGCGCCTGGCAATAGAGCAAGACTCTGTCTCAAAAAAAAAATTAGCTGGGCATGGAGGCACATACCTATAATCCCAGCTACATGGGAGGCTGAGGCAGGAAGAATCGCTTGAACCCAGGAGGCAGAGGTTTCAGTGAGCCGAGAGTGCGCCATTGCACTCCAGCCTGGGCAACAGAGCGAGACTCTGTCTCAAAAAAAAAAAAAAAAAGAATGCTCACAAAGAATCATGCTTGTTTCTGTGTCTCTGCTTTTGTTCACACTACTTATCCAAATACTATTCATGGCTCAGGTTAACCATCGGTAGGCATTCTAGAAGGTTCTTTGCCCATATCTCATCCAAAGGAATAATATTATAATAAAAGCATTGTAGGTACTTTCTTTTTAAGGACAGCTTTATTGAGCTATAACTCACATATGTAGGTGCTTTTGGCTGTAGTAGCAGAGGAAGTGGTCTTGACAAAGAATTTGCCATGGAAAAAAATACACTGTCATGTCCTGTTTCTGTCATTGATGGGCCACAAAGACCATGTGGTCCCACAGTATTATACCATATTTTCACTGTACCTTTTCTATGTTTAAAATACTCACCGTTGTGCTACAACTGCCGACAGGATTCAGTACACTGTGCAGGTGTGTAGCCTAGGAGCAATAGGCGGGTACCATAGAACCTCGATGTGGTATAGGCCACATAATCTACGTTTGTGTAAGTAAATTCTATGATTTTTTTTTTTTTTTTTGTATTTTTTTTTTTAGTGGAGACGGGGTTTCACCATGTTGACCAGGATGGTCTCGATCTCTTGACCTCGTGATCCACCCGCCTCAGCCTCCCAAAGTGCTGGGATTACAGGCTTGAGCCACTGCGCCCGGCCCAATTCTATGATGTTTATACAGCAACAAATTTGCCTAACAAGACGTTTCTCAGCGACACATGACTGTATGTGTAAAGCAATGTTTTCATAAAAAGTAGAGGTCAGTAAGAGGGTTAGGAAATTCTAGTTACTTGTAGGAGGCATTAAAATATATACTGCTTTTCGTCTGAGCACAGTGGCTCACACCTGTAATCCCAGCACTTTGGGAGGCCGAGGTGGGAAGATCATGAGGTCTGGAGTTCAAGACCAGCCTGGCCAACATGGTGAAACCCTGTCTCTACTAAAAGTACAAAAATTATCCGGGCATGGGGTGGTAAGCACCTGTAGTCCCAGCTATTCAGGAAGCTGAGGCAGAAGAATCACTTGAACCTGAGAGGCAGAGGTTGTAGTGAGCAGAGATTGGGCCACTGCATGCAAGCGCATGCGCGCGCGCGCACACACACACACACACAGTTTTTCTAGCCCCCAACTATATAATATTGCTCAGATTTTAAACTGAAGTTAAGTCATAGTCTGCAGTGAGGGAAAGGAAAGGAAAGCATGTACCCGTTGAGGTGGGGTCCACAGCTGACTGTAGCTGGAGTCTCTAGCCCAGCTGGAGGTTGGTGTGAAAAGCTGCTGGGGCTCTTTCATCGGTACTGCAGAGAGGCTTGGGAGAGCTGTCTAGCGTGCACCCACTCCAGGGCTGTTGTGCTGTGGCTGCCGCATCACCAGCGCTTAAAAGAACACACAAGTTTCTGTGTGGGTGGGCACAGCATGCACAGTGAGGTGATGCAAAGCAAGTGGGTGACACAGGAATGCTTTGAGCAGCCTTTCCTTGGTGACCAACACATTTCACCGCCCGAGCATGCCTTAGATTATGATGGTGGCCACTGGTGGCACCTGGCTTGAGTCATAGCAATTTCTGGCACAGGGACACACAAGGGTCCTTGAATGTCTAAATGGTCCTGTTCTTCCAGATCTGTGAAAGAAACACAGACATGCCAGTGTCACATGGAGAGAAAAGCATATTTTAAGAAGTGTGAGGCCGGGCACAGTGGCTCAGGCCTGTAACCCCAGCACTTTGGGAGGTCGAGGCAGGCAGATCACCTAAGGTCAGGAGTTTGAGACCATCCTGGCCAACATGGTGAAACCCCATTTCTACTAAAAATACAAAAACTTAGCCAGGCATAGCGGTGGGCTCCTATAATCCCAGCTACTCAGAAGGCTGAGGCAGAATTGCTTGAACCCAGGAGGCAGAGGTTACAGTAAGCCGAGATTGTACTACTGTACTCCAGCCTGGGCAACAAGAGCGAAACTCCATCTCAAAAAAAAAAAAAAAGAAGTGTTTTTGCTTTCTTTCAAAGTGTGGTGTTTATGCTGATTGTTGGGTATTTTCTGTTTATATTGACCATAAGCTGATTAGGAGCCTGCTTACTTGATTGTTTTAGAAGAGAGTTTTGGTGGGGCAGAGGGCAGTAAGTGCAGAAGGATGGGTGACTGGCAGGCACTGGGGAAGAGGGTGTATAATTGTGTCTTCTCCTCTGGAGGCAGCAGTATCTTTGTTGGCTTTGGTTTGGTTTGGTATGTCTTGTTTTCCTGGGAAGACAAAGGAAGAAGAAAATGACAGCTTTGCAGGTAAAGAAATGGAGAGGCTTCTCTCCCTCTATACTAAGAGTAGGCTGAAGACCCATATCCAGCAGGCTGACAGAAAGTTGGCTGGATAAAGAGCCACTGAGCTTGTTGCTCAGGAATGTGAGGGGAGGGCTCCACACCAGAGAAGTGGGATACTACATTGGGCCCAGGAGCCAAGAGGACTGGGACAGGGAGACATTAAAGTGACCCAGACTGCTCCTTTATGGGCAGACTGCATATCTGTTGTCCGTGGAGCAGTGTCTGTTAACACCGTTTTCCATTAAAAAATAAAAAAGAGCCGGGCACGGTGGCTCATGCCTATAATCCCAGCACTTTGGGAGGCCAAGGTGGGCGGATCATGAGGTCAAGAGATCGAAACCATCCTGGCCAACGTGGTGAAACCCCGTTTCTACTAAAAATACAAAAAAATTAGCTGGGCGTGGTGGCACACACCTGTAGTCCCAGCTACTCGGGAGGCTAAGGCGGAAGAATCGCTTGAACCCAGGAGGCAGAGGTTGCAGTGAGCCGAGATTGCGCCACTGCACTCCAGCCTGACACCTGGCGACAGAGCAAGACTCCGTCTCAAAAAAAAAAAAAGATTCAGCATCTACTTTAGAAAATAACAAAATAAAAATCCCATCATAGCTACACTTCTCCCATACAGTCAGTCCTAAGTTAATTGCTCCCTCCTGCAACCTACCAGAATATGAGTCTGCATCTCACACAGTTAGTGCTTCATTTTCTTGTTTAATTTTTTCTTCTTTATTGAGGTAAAATTCATACATAACAAAATTAACCATTTGAAAGTGGACCATTTGGTGGCATGTAGTCCAGTCACAGTGTTGTGCAGCCACCACCTCTACCTTGTTCCAAAACGTGTATCACCCTGAAAGGAAAACCCATATCCATAAAGCATCACTGCCTATATATACCCCCTTGCCCCAGCCCCTGGCCGCTGCAAATCTGCTTTCTTATCTGCCTATTTTCAGATTTACCTATTCAACTATTCTGGATATTTCATATAAATGGGCTTATGCAGTGTGTAACGTTTTATGTATGGCTTCTTTCACTTAGCATCATGTTTCAAGGTTCATTTGTGTTGTAGAATATATCAATATTTCATTCCTTTTCATGGCTGAATAATATTTCACTGTATGGATATACCACCATTTGTTTATCCTCATCCATTGATAGACATTTGGGTTGTCTCCACCCTTTGGCTGTTGTAAATAGTGCTGCTATGAACATTCATGTAAAAGTATTTAAACACCTGTTTTCAGTTATTTTGGGTATATACTTAGGAGTGGAATTGTTAGGTCATGTGGAAATTCCGTGTTTAACTTTTTGAGGGACTGCCGGAGTGTTTTCTACAGCTGCTGCACCATTTGACATTCCCACCGGCAATGTATAAGGTTTAAGTTTCCATTCTTTCTCCTTTTTTTTCTTTTGTTTACTTTATATTCTTCCCATCATGAAGTTTAAATTTCTTTACTTCCTCGTTAGCACATGTTAATTTGTTTTTGTTTCTTAAATACCCATCCTAATGGGAGTGAAGTAGTATTTCATTGTGGTTTTGATTTGTATTTCCCTAATGACAAATACTGTTGAACACCTTTTCATGTGCTTGCTGACCATTTTTATATTTTCTTGGGAGCAATGTCTATTCATGTTCTTTGCCCATCTTTTAATTGGATTGTTTGTGTTTTTGTTGTTGAGTTGGAAGAGTTCTTTACATATTCTGGATGCTAGGTGATATCAGATGATACATGTATCGTTGGACAATGATTTGCAGATATTCTTGTGTTAGTCCGTTGCATCATACAGAAATACCCAAGGTTGGGTACTTTATATGAGACTGATGCATTGCCTACTGCTCTAAGGAGGCACACAGTTGGGTACTTTCTAAAGAAAAGAGGTGTAGGCCAGGCGCAATGGCTCATGCCTGCAATTCCAGCACTTTGGGAAGCCGAGTTGGGCAGATCACCTGAGGCCAGGATTTTGAGACCAGCCTGGCCAACATGGTGAAACCTTGTCTCTACTAGAAATAGAAAAAAATTATTCATAATCACCTTCTTTGAAAAGAAAAAAATTAGCCAGGCATGGTAGCTCACACCTGTAATTCTAGCCACTTGGGAGGCTGAGGCAAGAGAATCACTTGAACCCAGGAGGTGGAGGCTTAAGTGAGCCGAGATCATGCCACTGCACTGCATCCTGGATGACAGAGCGAGACTCCACCTCAAAAATTAAAATTAACCAGGTATAGCGGCATGCACCTGTAATCCCAGCTATACTTGGGTGGCTAAGGTGAGAGGATTGCTTGAGCCTAGGAGTTGGAGGCTGCGGTAAGCCATGATTGCACTGCTGCCCTCCAGCCTGAGCAACAGAATGAGATTCTGTCTCAAAATATGTATTTATTTATTTATATAAAACATAGATGGCAAAAATACTGGCTGCTTGTTTAGTGATGGTGATGCAAATACAAATTATGTCATCACTAAGCAAGTGGTCAGTGTTTTTGCCATATATGTTTTACTATAAATACAAAATACAACATCCTTTGCTATTTGGCATGGCAGTGATTTTTATGAATTAGACACCTGTGAGGTAGATGTTACTCTGCACATTTTACACTCAAAGAACCTGGGCATGAGAGAGTTCAGATTTGCCTAAGACCACACAGCTGGTAGCTGGTAGAGCCAGAATTGAAGTTTAGGTTTGTCTGGGTCCATGGTGAGCACCTGTCCCCCACTCCATGTCTTCCCTTCCTGGGGACATAAATTGTGTCTGCTCCCATGCCTATTCATTGGTTCATCGGGGTGGTCTAACGTCCATAGAGCGCCTGACACGTGCTAGTGCTGAACTGAATGAGCTTGAAGGAGGCTTGAAAGTGAACAGGAGAAAGCTCCTTTAGATATGAACAATATTGCATTGTTTTTACTATGCTTACCTTGGTGGAAGAGAGCTGAAATTTTCACCTCCTCTTTCTTATGGGCTGCTAGGGCACAGTGCCCCACATGGACTGAAATAGACTAGATTTCCTTCTCTTTTTAAACTTTAACAGAAATGCATGCTAGCTGTAAAAATTCCAAAAAAATCCCATCTGCCTCAATCCTGCAGCCCTCCCTAGAGGGAGTGACCTCGTACAGTTTGGCACAAATTATTCGTCTTTATGCATTTGTAAGCATAAAAAGTGCATACTTTTACATGGCTACAAATGCATAAAGACTGGGATATATATAATATATAAGTATATATAATTTTAGGGCTTCTTTAGAGGGGAAAAATCCACAAATGGATCATACTTTGGATATTTTTGCAGCTTGCTTTTTTCCACCTTAAACATGTTTACGTCTCACGTTGCCATTCCTCCTTTACAGAGATCCTACAGTAAGGAATTGTTTGAAGAAGTTATTTCAAAGATGCGGAAGGCAGGGATCAAATCTACAATAGCGATAGAAAAATTTAAGCTGCTCGCCGAGAAAGTGGAGGAGATAGTGGCCAAGAACGCACGCGCAGAAATCGACTACAGCGACGCTCCCGACGAGTTCAGAGGCAAGTGGAATTGTCTTTTTCATGCTGATTTCTTTTGAGTTAACTGGAAATCGATAACATTACAAGAGGGCGCCCTGTGCTATTAATTTTTTAAATTGTGTGCTAGAGCTGCTTTTTGAGACCATCTGTCTTAAATTACATTTGCCTATTTTTAGCTCATATTGTAAATTGAGAGGAAAAAGCATCCTTAGCCTGTATTAAAACCAGATAACAGCCCTGAAGATTGTAAGGGCAGGGCTGCCTTTGCAAGTGAGGATTCACATTTTCAAAGAATTCCAAGAAGTCCTAAGAGAAAGTATTCCAGCCTGCGTCCTCACCATAGAGCATGTGGGGCCTGCTGCTGGGTCTGTCCCAGGGTCTTTCTTCTCTGTTCCCTCCCCCCAGCAGTAGCTGACAAAAGAGTGCCTTCCCCTCTACAAAAGGCAATGCATATCTCTTTACTGAAGGCTGATTTCCTTCTAAACCTGGGGGCCTCACAGGGGCCCTTTGATTGCTGTTGCTTTGGATGGATTTTTCACTGGTAGAAGGGGCTTTGTTTTGTTTTCTTTTTCAGCTCTGGGCTCTCTTATAAGCTAAGAGTTTGCTTTGCTTTGTCCCTGCAGACCCTCTGATGGACACCCTCATGACTGACCCTGTGCGACTGCCCTCCGGCACCATCATGGACCGCGCCATCATCCTGCGGCACCTGCTCAACTCCCCCACGGACCCCTTCAACCGGCAGACGCTGACAGAGAGCATGCTGGAACCAGGTAGAGGAGGGCACGGTTTGAGGTGCAGCGCTGGCGTCAGTACCAGGAGACAAAGCCCAAGCTGCATCTCAGAGACGAAGCAGAAGGGAAATTTATTAAATCCAGAAACTACCTGGTTTATGACACTCTGTAGAAAAGACCCAAAACACTCTTGGGCCTTTTTCCCTGCAGTCCTTCCCTCTCATGCCGCATTCCTCTGTCTTTGGCTCAATGAAGGAATGAATGGCCTTTTCTTCCCATTTATACAGAGCGACAAGCATCCTCTCTCAGGGAGAGCCCTCCCATCTGGGGCATTAATCCTCCTTTTTTTTCTTTTCTCAGTGCCAGAACTGAAAGAGCAGATTCAGGCGTGGATGAGAGAGAAACAGAACAGTGATCACTAAACCGTCCCCACTGCCCACCCTCTGCTAGACACAGCCAAGGCCAACGAGGCGAGCAGAAGCAGTGGCCGCTGCGAAGCTGCCATTCACGTGTTGGAGGCCAAATGTGGCAAACCACCCCAGGCCCACCCAGAGCCAGCAAACGCTGAGACCTGAAAGGACGTGGATGAGAAGAGGAGCCCAATTCCTGTACATATATTTAAGTGACAAACACGATCAAAAGCTTAAGGGACAAGTTTCATGCTTGCGTGTGTAATAAAGCACGTCCTTCTTATGTCACAGTTTGGGGCAACGGAAGTCTTTTAGTGATGGCTAATGGGTCTGGGCAGCATCCCTTCATGAATTCTTTTTTAATCCAATATCCGTTGATTTGATTGTGATTAGAGAACCTTGGACATTTTGCTGCTAAAGAATCTTTTCTCCCCTTTTCCCCACTCCTGACCCTACTTGCACTGCTGTGGATTTTTTAAGAGAAGCAAAAACAAAAATAAACTCCTTTCCCTGGCCCTCCAAACATATATTCTGTGAGATAACTGTGCCTGCTACCAAGTGTTAATCCTGGGATCGTATTTTTATATCATATTCACATATTTGTTTTTTTAATTGGTGTTAGATGACATGATTAATAAAAAAGGCAAGATATTTTCAGAATTTGAATTTCAGCTTTTTTTTTCTTTTGAAATGTCCCTTTAAGATTTTTTTATTCTAAACAAAATAAAGAAAATCTTGCTGCTCTGGTCCTTATAATAAGCTCTCTCTTAGGAATCTGAGGAGCAGTTGCAGCAAAATCTAAGGGGTGTAAGTGTATCAGGACTCACGTGACTTAGGGTATTTTGGGGAGATGAGGGTTGCGTTTTTTTTTTTTTAATGCTACATGACAGTTCGAAACCTTTACAGTTCTCCTCTGGAGGGAATTGAGTTCCTCAACCCTTGGGTGTGTGAGTTTGAGGCAGGGTCATTTGTATGATGTGTTTGGCCTTACCAAAGCAAAAGAGGGTGCAGGGATGCGGGAGTATGTCTGCCAGTTGAAACACACACAGACAAACACAGCCACATGCACACACAAGTATAAGACTTTTTGTATTACTGCTCCCTACTTATCATACTTGAATTCCTGAATTTCCTTTGGGGTTAAAAAGGATTTGAAACCATAAAGTGTTTTGAAGAAATTAAGTCTCTAAAAAAACATACTTTCTTTTTTCTTTTCCTTTTTTCCCCCTCCACAGACAATGTCCTCTGTTCAATTCCTAACGCAAACTACAATAAATGGTGATACACATTCAGAAGAAATCTGAGTCTATTCTTTTCTGCGGGAAAAAAAAGGGGGGGACAGGGTGGGTGGGTAAACAAGAGCCAAATGAGTTTGCATGTGGTGAATTATGTTGCCTGGTTCCAATTAGGAGTTGCTATTTTTAAAAGAAAACTTTTGGCCAGGCGCAGTGGCTCACGCCTATAATCCCAGCACTTTGGGAGGCCGAGGCGGGTGGATCACGAGGTCAAGAGATCGAGACCATCCTGGTCAACAAGGTGAAACCCCATCTCTACTAAAAATACAAAAATTAGCTAGGCATGGTGGTGCGTGCCTGTAGTCCCAGCTACTCGGGATGCTGAGGCAGGAGAATTGCTCGAACCCAGAAGGCGGAGGTTGCGGTGAGCCGAGATCGTGCCATTGCACTCCAGTCTGGGTAACAACAGCGAAACTCCGTCTCAAAAAAAAAAAAAAAGAAAACTTTCTCCTTCGTGTCAGTCTCAGTGCTTACATTTGGTTCTCATTTCACTGTTTGCTGATTTGAGGGGTAAGCTTGGTCATAACTCAGTCTTCTGCCTTTCTTGAGTTTCTCTGCCTTATCTCATGTATCTTCTCAGACCTTCAGGATTCTTCCTCAAATCCAACCCATTTTATTGGCATTTTTCTTAGGCTCTCCAGTTTAGACAACCATTTCTATGAGCTTGTGTAAGAACAGCCAATAGCAATAATAATAGCAAGCACCGAGACAGCATTGCCTGCACGCCAGGTGCTTCAAGGCATTGACATTTAGGGTTTCATCCTCTAGGAAGACAATACTGTTATTCTAGGGTTGTTATTTTATTTTATTTTATTTATTTTTAGAAGAGTGTGATGTTTTGAGTGTCAGTTACATTTTTTTTTTTGAGATGGAGTCTCACTGTCACCCAGGCTGGAGTGCAGTGGCACAATCTTGGCTCACTGCAGTCTCCGCCTCCTGGGTTCAAGCAATTCTGCCTCAGCCTCCCGAGTAGCTAGGACTACAGGTATGCACCACCACGCCCAGCTAATTTTTTGTGTATTTTTTTAAATAGAGATGGGGTTTCACCATGTTGGCCAGGATGGTCTCGATCTCCTGACCTGGTGATCCACCTGCCTCGGCCTCCCAAAGTGCTGGGATTACAGGCATGAGCCACCACGCCCACCCCCCACCCTTTTTTTTTTTTTTAAATGAATGAGAGCTCTCTCTGTTGCCCAGCCTGGCCTCGAACGCATAGCCTTGCCTCCTCAAGCTCCGGGACAACTGAACTGAGCCACTGAAGCTCTATTCTAGGGTTTTTTCTTTTTTGAGGCGGCATCTCACTCACCCAGGCTGGAGTACAGTGACTTGGTCTTTGGCTCACTGCAACCTCCGCCTCCTGGGTTCAAGCCCTTCTCTTGCCTTAGCCTCCCGAGTAGCTGGGATTACAGGCACCTGCCACCATGCCCAACCAAATTTGTATTTTTAGTAGAGACAGGGTTTCACCATATTGGTCAAGCTGGTCTCGAACTCCTGACCTCATGATCCACCCACATTCACCTCCCAAAGTTCTGGGATTACAGGCATGAGCCACCACTCCCTGCCTATCTCAGTTTTTTAAGAATAGATCAGTGTGTGGGATGTAGAGAGGGTAGATAACTTACCCAACGTCACTGGCTGCTTGGCTAAGAACCAGGTGTCCAGGCTTCAGAGTCCATGCCCTCAGTCTCTATGTCTGCTTCTCTTGAGCACATTTGAACTAAACAACTTGGCCAGGTGTGGTGGCTCATGCCTGTAATCCCAGCACTTTGTGAGGCCAAGATGGAAGAATCAGTTGAACCCAGGAAATTAAGACCAGCCTGGGCAACATAGTGAGACTCTTTAAAAAAAATACATATATTTAAAAATGAAGGCCAGACACACTGGCCTGTAATCCTAGCACTTTGGGAGGATGAGGCGGGTAGATACCTGAGGTTTCCCTTGCCAACATGGTGAAACCTCCTGTCTACTAAAAAATACAAAAATTAGCCCAGTGTGGAGTTGGGCGCCTATAATTCCAGCTACCTTGGGAGGTCGAGACAGGAAAATCGCTTGAACCTGCGAGGCAGAGGTTGCAGTGAGCTGAGATCGTGCCACTGCACTCCAGCTTGGGCAACAGAGTGAGATTCTATTCCCCTCCCCCCCGCAAAAAATATATTTATGAAATAAAAAACTAAGAAAAAAGTTCATGATAGCAAAAATTTTAGACATTATAAGCAAAAAGAAGAAAAAAATCACATTCTCACCATGCAGATAATTGTTTAATTGGGTTTATTTTTGTTTCTTTTTTCTTTTTTTTTTTTTTATTTGAGACAGAGTTTTGCTCTTGTTACCCAGGCTGGAGTGCAATGGCGCGATCTCGGCTCACTGCAACCTCCGCCTCCTGGGTTCAGGCAATTCTCCTGCCTCAGCCTCCTGAGTAGCTGGGATTACAGGCACACGCCACCATGTCCAGCTATTTTTTTGTATTTTTAGTAGAGACAGGGTTTCACCATGTTGACCAGGATGGTCTTGATCTCTTGACCTCGTGATCCGCCCACCTCGGCCTCCCAAAGTGCTGGGATTACAGGCGTGAGCCACCGCGCCCGGCTTCTTTTTTATTTTTTCTTATGAGACAATCTTGCTTTGTTGCTCAGGCTGGAGTGCAGTGGCACAATCTCGATTCACTGCAGCCTCTGCCTCCCAGGCTCAAGCGATTCTCCTCCCTCAGTCTCCCAAGTAGCTGGGACTACAGGCACGCACCACCATGCCCAGCTAATTTTTGTATTTTTAGTAGAGACAGGGTTTCACCATGTTGGCCAGGATGGTCTTGATCTCTTGACTTCATGATCTGCCCACCTCGGCCTCCCAAAGTGCTGGGATTACAGACATGAGCCACCACGCCTGGCCTTAATTGGGTTTACTTTTTACTAAATTTACATATCGGCCGGACACGGTGGCTCACACCTGTAATCCCAGCGCTCTGGGAGGCCGAGGTGGGTGGATCACAAGGTCAAGAGATCGAGAGCATCCTGGTCAACATGGTGAAACCCCGTCTCTACTAAAAATACAAAAAAATAGCTGGGCATGGTGGCACGTGCCTGTAATCCCAGCTACTCAGGAGGCTGAGGCAGGAGAATTGCCTGAACCCAGGAGGCGGAGGTTGCGGTGAGCTGGGATCACACCATTGTACTCCAGCCTAGGTAACAAGAGCAAAACTCCGTCTCAAAAAAAAAAGAAAAGAAAAAACTTACATATCTAAGTTTAGTACCTATAGAATGATGATCCTACTGGCCTCTTGCCCAATTTTGTTTGTGTATATCTCACCAGTGTGGACTGCTTGCCTCCTCTCCTTCCAGATTCCAAACTCTGACTTTAATCCCCCAGTTGTCCCCCCTGAATGTAACAACGTGCCGCTTTATACCACCATATGCACTTGTCATTCTGAATAATTCAGAGGTTTCAAGGACCTGCCGGGTAGGACAGAGATGCAGCCAGTCTCCTGCCTGTACTATCTCTAGGGGGAGGAAGATGGTTTGGGTTTCTATTTTTATAGTCTCAAGAGTTGCTGTTTTGTGTTTGTCTGCAGTCTGTTAATTATGGATATTGAAATAAATCCCAAAATATATTAAAAGTAGGTCTTGACTAAAGGGAAGATTGTCAAGTAAGAGAATCAGATCGGCAGAAGAGAAATGATCCTTGAGAGAAAGATGATTAAAATAACTTCCGCCCCGTGTTGTGGCTCAGCATGGTGTAGGTTTTAAAAACATCGAAATCTTTCAAAAAAAAAACCTCTTTCACTTTTTGTAACCTCTGGGTTTGGTACATCAAGTAGTGAATTTCACAGCATGTTGGTTGGGGCGAAAGTGACATGAATAGGCCTCATTTGAGAAGGTAATTTTTTTGCTTGGTTGGTTGGTTTTTTTCAGAGAGTCTCACTCTGTCACCCAGGCTGGAGTGCAGTGGTGCGATTTCCGCTCATTGCAACCTCTGCCTCCCAGGTTCAAGTGATTCTCCTGCCTTATCCTCTTGAGTAGCTGGGATTACAGGCATGCACCACCACCTCCGCTTTTTGTTTTTTTTCTGTAAGTAAAGACGGAGTTTCACCATGTTGGCCAGGGTGGTCTGAGATCAGACTCCTGATCTCAAGTGATCCGCCTACCTCGGCCTCCCAAAGTGCTGGGATTACAGGCATGAGCCACGGTGCCCAGCCTCAAGGTACGTTTTTGATTGAAGGAGACGTAGCAGCCTATGAGCTTGATGCTGGTATCAGCTAGTGTTGGTGAAGAAAGTCATTCTGAGTTGGTGATGATAATCTGCGTTTGTGAGTCTATTCTGTGTGCAAGCCACTCTTACATGTATTAATTAATCCTTCACAACCACCATAGTAGAGCTGGCACATGAATCTAGGCCTTTCCAGCCTCATTTCTTCCCCACTCCTGCTCTGTGGCACCATCCCAGAATCTACAAGTTCAGAATAACTCAGAATGCCCAAGGAGAGATGGAGAAGCAGCATAGCATTCTGGAAGGGACTTTGGCCTTGAGGTCAGCTCTAGACCTAACCCCCATTTTTTTTTTTGAGACGGAGTTTCACTGTTGTTACCCAGACTGGAGTGCAATGGCACGATCCTGGCTCACCGCAATCTCCGCCCTCTGGGTTCAAGCAATCCTCCTGCCTCAGCCTCCTGAGTAGCTGGGACTACAGGCACGCACCACCATGCCCAGCTAATTTTTGTATTTTTAGTAGAGATGGGGTTTCACCTTGTTGACCAGGATGGTCTCGATCTCTTGACCTCGTGATCCACCCGCCTCGGCCTCCCAAAGTGCTGGGATTATAGGCCTGAGTCACCGCGTCCGGCCTAACCCCCATTTTAAATGATTAGATAACTTCAATCTCATGGCTTTCATTCATTACGAGCCACTCATGTTGATCCCAAATGTGTATCTCAAGACCCCCTTCTCTCCTGTACTGCATACCCTGGGCATCTCAGATGACTAAAAGGCCCTCAGGGCTGGGTGCGGTGGTTC